CGCACTCTTCCCATTAGAAAAAATCCCTACTGTAGCCTTCTTACTCCAAGTTTTTCAAAACATTAAGTGGATACAGATTCAACAAAAGCGCATTCCCTTATGGAATTACATGTCATGTTACCCATGTGAAAATTTCAGCGGAAAAGCCTGCTTAAACTAGCTTAAATTTGGGCTTAAAAAGCGCTTGTAAGCGCACATTCTAAGTCCATTAAAAGTGCTTGGAAGCAGAAATGTCAGCGCTTGTAAGGGCTGAGGAAACGTAAGCTTTAAGTGCTTCCCAGTCAGACAAACAACAAAAAATAACACGTTAAATTCCCACGAAACACTGTTTTTGTACAAAAAAGCATTTCAACCCATCTTCTTTCAGTTAGAACGTTTTCCCTAGATTTTAAACGCACTTTGCTGAAAGCGTTTTTAATAACGAATATATTTTTCATTGCGGTGATAAGCAGATTCGAACTTGGGACTTTTGATTTAACTTACCTGATACTGTTGGATCAAACTTACGGTTAACAGTATAATAATAGAATGCCTATATGTATTGAATTGAAGGATAAGTTTTGAATTCAAATTAAATTTAAAAAAAAAATTTATTTTTAAAAATTTAATTTCTTTTGAAATTATCTATTTATCCAAAAATTTATTTTTTTTTGAAATTATCTATTTATCCAAAAATTTATTTTTTTTTGAAATTATATCTAGTTATCAAAAAAAATTAGTTTTTAAATGTACTGAATTATTTTATACCAATTTTTTAAAAATTTATCTAATTATTCTAAGCAAAATTTTGATCTTTCTTTTAATTACATTGAAGGAGCTAAAAATTGAGGAAATTTTTTCTAAGTTTAAAAACCGTGGTTGCCCTCTGTGGTGGACTTCTCTTTGTATAAAAATGTTATTTGTCAATGTTGTAAATAAAAAAAATGAATTGGTAGGCACTGATCGAGCTAATTAGTTACTCACAGGGCAAGCTTACAACTTATTTTAGTTAATTATTAAAAACTAAATCGTCAGAAAAAAATACTTTTAAAGCTTTGAAAAAGTTAAGTAACGTACGCGTAAAAACGCGTCAAATTCGAGCTTTTAACGGATAAAAACGCTTAAATCGGAAAAAAGCTACGTATTTTAACGCTTAAATATTGTAACGCGTTAAAATGCGTTCAAAAATCGGAGAAACGACGTATTTACGATGGTCTGTCATTAAAACGGCGTTTTAACACATTTTTAACATGTTATAACGCGTTTTCTTTAAAGCCTTGTCTGACTGGGTTGCAAGCTCACATTTTAAGTGCCTTAAAAGCACTCGAATTTAACTATTTAAGCACACCAAGAAAATAAGCATATTTCGGTATTTCCATGTGTCCCCATGCACATCTATCTATTTTCAAGTATTTCAAATGAATTTCTATATATTATCGAGTATTTCTAAGTTTCGAAATACCTGGATATATATAGAAATACATTTAGTAATACTTGAAAATAGATATATGTGCATGGAAACACATGGAAATATCGAAATATGCTTCTTCGTCCTTGTTCCCATCACTATCAATATTACACACACATGAACATTCACTTCGCCAACCATTGAATGACATACTCACACACATGACACATGGGCCTATCTTTAGTGCTCAGACATATTCCATCCCAAGACCTGCTTACACTGCTCAAACTGAAAGAAAAAAAGAGAACATCTGTATTTCGAAACGAATTAAAAATACTTTGAAATAAAAAATTCATGCTGATCGTTTAATCTAAAAGTATGAGAATACAGCTGAAAAATAATAAATAGATACATATTTAAATTAGAAAATGCTCACTGAAAAATGTTCGCTCATTTCAATGAAATCATTCTGTAGCACAATCAAAATTAAAATAGATAGATAATTTTGATTATTGTTGATCATGACTTAACCATTACTTGACATTGGATAAGTAATATATCAAGTAATGGTTAAGTCATGATCAACAATAATCAAAATTATCAATCTATTTTAATTTTGATTTTGTTGCAGAATGATTTGATTAAAATCAGCGAACATTTTTCAGTGGGCATTTTCTAATTTGAGATGGATATTTTTTTATCAAATTCGCATATATCTTTTCTAACCATCCTAATGGAACTGGGACAAAAGAAATTTCTCAAATTTCGAACCAAGATCAACATATTAACTAAATAATTTGTCGTCTTCTCTACTTAATATAAGAACTATGATCATCTTCAAAAGCTACGATTATAAGAAAGAAGTAGTATCTCCTTTGGTTAAAATGCAGTCTTTCTTTCATATCGACTATAATTGTCTCTCAACGATATAAGGGAAAAAATAAAAAATAAAATTACATACCTGTTAATTGTACTAAAATGTCGTTCTGTTTCGTATTACTGAGCTGATTGCTGTGCTATGGGCGCATAAAATGAATGACGAATTTTTCTCCTTCTTTCGTTCTTCTACGAATTTTCCTTAGGATAATGAAATTCACTCTTATATATACATCAATAATCTTTGACTTGAAACAATAAATATAAAAACAGTCAATATTATCAATTGAGCTAATTTTTTTCTCCTGTTGATAGATGCCACTTTGTTCACTAAACACTTATGCTAATGTATTAACACATAGATATGTTCCATACGAATATGGAATAGACGATGTATTGAAGACTGAATTACTTTTTGTTAAGAGAGCGACCATGTGGAGACCGAGACACTGATCAAAGTATAACTTTTTATTTTTTTATGGAAGTTTGTAAGACGGTAAATTAAAACTTCCAAACCTAAATTTGAATATAGGTTTGGTAGTTTTAAATTACCGTCTTACAAACATTTATTAAAAAAATAAAATTTTTAACAAATGCTTTGTATAATAGAATGATCTTTGGTCTTGACGTCGACGCTCTCTTCAAGTATTCAGAAGTGACTTAGCCGATAAGTGCCACCAAACGCTTAAATTAAAGAAAATATACAGTGCTTTTAAGCATTTTTGATGATAAGTGCTTCACAAGACTTAAATTTGACTGAATTCTAAGCACTTTTAAGTAATCTAGATAATAAGCGCTATTCAACGCTTAACTTCAAGCAACTTTCCAGCACTTTTGAGCGATTTAGAGCATAAGCGCTGATAATGGCTTTGAAAACCTATTTCTAAGCTAAAGTAAGTGCTTTATTCAAGAAAGCGCATTTCAGCAGCTTAAACTATGTCACATAAGCGCTTATAAGTTGCTTATATCAGATTAAGCTACTCAAAGCCGCTTGAAAACAGCGTACAATGGACAAAAATTTCACATGGGTAATAATTATTAATATCAAAATTATTCAATAGTTTCAAAAATCATGAGAAAAGCAATCAAGTCGACCAATAGTGTAAAACCCATTCAAAATGTGATCTTGCTTCAGCCCATGTGCTTCTCGTTCCTTGGAGTAAACTCATTCATAGTAAAGGCGAAATCGTATTGAACCTAAAAATAGCATAAAATATGTTTTAGCCGGTAGTATTGGAATCATTTCTGCCTCACAATCGTCACTTGTGAATACAACTTTATGCATGCCATCTCTTGTTATTCGAACTATAGTTAATAGATTCATAGCGCGCAGTAATCTGTTGTTCGTATGAGCAATCACCTTAAGCAAAATCTAGAGCTCCAGAGAAGAGTAAAATAAAAAGAATCATTTGCGCTGTTCTCACATACTTCACAACAGTTATGCTTTTCCAAGTGATATTTTAGTGTCTCTATTGGAGTTATAATTGTTATGAAATATTCTCGAGACCATTTGAAATAAAAACATAATACACTAGAGGCAACAAAACAAAGCATAAAACGATATTTTTTTATTATAATGTACAATTACTGAATTTGTGTTCAGATCTTCTAGATACGACGTTTGAGATAAATTTGAAACAAATACAGGAATAATTCCAGCCTCAACAGCAGCCTGAGAAACCAAAATGCAAATATCGAAGAACAATATTTGAAGGTATTCATATTTAAATCATATCGTTAGACTTACGCCACGTAGTGTTGTGGAAACTGTCGTATAGAAACAGAGACCATTCAAAGAGCAAGTAATAGATTACCATGTTTCAGAATATTGTCGAAAATCTACATCTTTTTATTTGAAGATAGCCACGCATAGACCTATTACGATTCTTGTAGATATTCAACAAATACTTTTATTATTGACTAGCGTAGTTCCTATCCATTAGCTTGGATATTGCGATGGGAAGCAAATGTTGCGACGATTGAACCAGATTATGGATATGCTTCTTTTTTTCGTTTTTTGGTAGCATCGCTTTTTTTATTGATGGAACAAAACAATAGAAGCAAAACATATCAAAACAACGTGTAATGTTGTGAGAAAATAAAAAAGCTGAAAGAGAAGAATAGAAAAAAAATAGAGACGCATGACATTTGTATTTTGCCTCTGAGTTTGGCCATTGGAAACTGCTGTAAGATATGATGATATTTCGTTAATGGGTCTTCATTCTAACATCGTCTTTTCATATTATATAAGAAAGTGAACGATACGAAGCAGAAATAGCTGAGTTGGAAAAACGAGTCAGCATATAGATTAACTTATCTTCATACATAATATGAAGAATAAGTAACAAAACGAAAATGGGTTAGTGGAAAAAAGAGTCAGCAAATAAGTTGTCTCATTTCTCGCTATAAACGAAAAAACTCTACGTGTGCGAGTCCCATATAACAATTTTCATACAGACTCGGTTGCCCAGTAATAGTCAAGTTTCTCGAGAATGATGTTATGTTGGTATAAAGGTGATCGTTTCATAGAATTTTTTCGAGTATGTCTTGAAGATCTTTCTTCGATGTAGTGTCATTTGTTTTGAGTAGGTGCTTGGATGGACTGTTTTAGTAATGTTGTTGCACAATCTTTGGTTTTTGGAAGATTACTAATTTTGTGGATGTAGTCTACTGATGTGTATATGGGTAAACCTAGTGCAGCTCGAAGTGCTTCATTTTGAATGATCTGTATTCGGTTTCATACATTTTGATCAGCAGTTAATAGTACCGGGTAACCGTATATGATGATTGTGCGTGCTATTGATTTGAAGATGTTGATCATCGTCTTGCTGTTGGGTTCGTATGCTGTTCTCGATAGATATCGAAGTAGACCGATCCGAGGAGCAATCTTGGTTTCGATATGATCGAGATGCCTTCGCCAATTTAATTGTTTGTCTATAATGACACCCAAGTATCTTGTATGATCCAGTGGTTTTATAATTGAATTATCAACTTTAACTTCCACTGGATGTTTATACTTCTTCCTTGGATAAATGGTGAAGTGGATCATTTCTGTTTTTGTTGCTTGCAATTTCAATTTCCACGACTTGCACCAATTTTCGAATGCGTCTATGGATTGTTGTAATCTGGATGATAGATATGTCATGGTGTTCGATGCCGTCCAGAGTGCTGTATCGTCAGCGAATAATCCATGTTCTGTATGAGTCGGTATTTCATTCATCGAATCTGCCGTATATATAATATACAATAGTGGTGATAGTGGTGATCCTTGTGGTGTACCGCTCTCTAAGTTGAATTGTCTGGTTAGGACATTTTCGATTTCGATTGAGGCGGTTCGATTTTTAAGAAATGATGTTAGGTAGTTGATGATGTACTTCGGAAGTCGAAGATCATTTAATTTATATATCAGGCCGTCATGCCATACTGAATCGAATGCGGCTTTTATATCGAATAGAATTACCGCTGAGTGTCTTCGAGCAGATCGAAGTCGATCCTGAGCGTATCGTTCTAATCGCAGGATGTTGTACATTGTACTTTTTCCTGGTCTCAAGCCGGCTTGATGTTCTGGTAAGATGTTTCTTCGTTCGAGTTCAAGCATTAGTCGTTGTTTGATTATTTTCTCCAATAGTTTGCCTAAGCAACTAAGGAGACTAATCGGTCGATAACTAGACGGATGTTGCTTGTCTTTCTTCAGTTTCAGGATAAGTATGATGTTGGCCGTTTTCCACTTGGTTGGAGTATTACCTTCCTTGATAATTTGATTGAACAGCTTAGTTAAATGCTGAATAAGTAATTCTGAAAAAAATTTTAAACACCTATTATGAATGTTGTCTGGCCCAACGGAGCTATTACGATGTTGTTTAATATGATATTTAGCTTCTTCTATTGTAATTTGCTTCCACTTGGGTGTGTTTAACGAGGTTATTCTTTTGTTCTTGAAGCTTGGCTTGTTACTTGATCATGAAATGACTGTGTATCATCAGTGTAAGAGTAGACATCATTTTTGAAGTAATCCGCAAATAAGTCTGCTTCTTTTTATCTGATATTGCTATCGTGTTGTTGCATGTCATGTTGCATGTAAAAGTTTGCTTGATACTTTTGCTATGGAACTTGCGCACTGTAAGTCAAATCTTGCCTGAATACATTTTTTATGACATAAAGAATACATTAGTTTGTTAAGGCTGTCTCTGTCGTTTCTAAGTGAATTTGATGATAAGATTTTGGATTTGTAATATTGACGTTTGTCTATATTGTTTCCGGTCCTCTTTCGTCTTCGGTATGCTTGATGTTTCATTGTAATCAAGCTCTTGGATGCTTCACTTAATGCATAACTTTTGCTCTGTTGTGTAGATGTTGGAACGGCTTCTTCAGTTGTTAACATTATACTGTTGGTAATGACCATTATATGTTCTTCTATGTTTAATGCTGGATTTAAACGAAGATCATTATTCCATAGCATTAGTTGTTGATCTAATTTGGATCTGAACTTTGTACATTTTGCTTCTTTAAAATTAAGTGATAATCTTGGAGAAGTTGGTTTTGGTTCATCGCCAATTTGAATATCGAATGTTAATGGTTTGCGTCAATTTATTGTGCTGATGGTTGGGTGTGTTTCAAAAGTTGTTATGAATGATAGGAGTGGTTGACTTCCTAATATCCAATCTAATTCGGCTTGATATTCATTTTTTTTCAAATGTTGTACTATCATCGTCGATACGATCGATAATATTTTCATTAAGTAGTTCTTGCAACTGTTTTCCTCTTGCGTTTGTTTTTGTTGATCCCATTTCGGATTATGTTGCATTGAGATCAACTACAATAATGCAGTTGTTGTTGATGTTGTATAGTCCCTGGAAGATATTCATATCAATCTTAGCTGTTGGTGCAACATAGATTGAAGATATCAGTATCGATTTGTATAATAGCGTTTCAATTTGAACTGCTACTATTTCGTTCTTGTGCCTCGTTTTGTTGATAATTTCTTGACATCTAATGTGTTCTTTGACTTCTAATAAAACTCCACCACCAGCTTTTCCAACTCGGTCATTTCTGAAAATGTTGTAACCCAAGGGAGCGAACGGTTGTTCACTTTTTAGATTAGTTTCATTTACAGAGATGGTGTCGTATTTGGAGTCTGGCTAGGAGTTCAACTTTGTTTTTTGTAATTGAGTTGATATTAATGTGACAGATACTAATCATCGATCGTGTGTTTTGCGATCTTTGGGACCCATTATTGTCGAATCTAGTGAGCTATCGAGTGATCGGTTTTTTTAAGATGTTCTTGCTTTTGCTTTTGATTTAGGTATTGGTTTTTTCAAGGGGGAAAAAGCGGATCCTTTTGGATCCTAGGATTCATAGGATCCACTAGGATCCACCAGGACCCATCAGGGTCCAATAGGATCCAAAAAGTCTGATCGGAAAAAGGAGGAATTGGTCGTAAGATTTTCGAGTGAGAAGCATGAGTGAACTGAGAAGATTGACAAATTAGTCAATTCCGATGAATTCTGCTAGGTTCCAATGAATTTTTCGATACTTAAAAACCAAGTAGGATACAACATAGGAGTGTACAGCTTACGCCCATGAGCGTAAGCGGTATATCCCTAATTATTATTACTTTTATTATTTATTACGAGTAATAAAGTTTAAAAAATTGAAAGTAATAAAAGCAACAACTGATAAGTAATAACGTGTAATAATTATTACCGTAATAAATACCGACCCAAAGATATTACTTAGAATTTTTTAGTATCTATCCAGGAGGAGTTTTTATAGCTACTTGCGACCTACCGTGAGATCGTACTAGAAGCTTCCAGGATCAGACCTGAACTGGCCCTTATAGCTATTAGGAGCCTACCCATAGGTGATACTCAGAACGTTTTAAGAATAATATAAAGGTCATACTTAGAAGTGTTTTGAGCCTGACCAAGGGTGGTACTTAGAAATTCTAAGGACTCAGTCAGAGGGAGTAGTCAGACGTTTTAGGATCTACTCATGGATGGTCTCTTTAACTATTTGGGATCTACTTACAGATGATACCTAGAGCTTTTAAGAAACTACCAAGGAGTGGTCCTGTACCTTTCTGGATCTACCCCATGATGGTAATTAGAACTATGTGAAAACTTTCCAGGGCTGATCTGTGCAACATTTTAGTACATATATAGTGGCATCTCTTGTATTTTTCTGCACAGGGTAGGAGGACATTATTATAACATACTCAGTCGTAACTAGGGATGAACCGAGACCAACACTCATCAATAATAGAATCGAGGCTAACCGCGAACAAAAGCGAGACCAAAACCTCGGCCGCAACGACTGAGACGGAGATGGAAAGTCTCGGTCTCGGCACAACCCTATTTATAACTATTGGCAGTTTCTATAACTTTTTCAATCCTATATAAGCATCGTCCTTTTAACATGTCACTCTGTCCAGCAGTGATATTTTCAAACTTGACGTACTATCCTTAGCGGTCCCGAAAAATTCATAAGGACAACCCTTAAGTAGATTCCAAATGACTAAAGGAACCATTCCAGTGTAAATCCACAAAATTTACGAGTACCACCTTCAAGTAGGATGCAAAAGTCATAGGGATCACATCTAGATAGGGCCTAAGGGACCGAAGGGGTTACCCTTAATTACGGCCCAAATAATACTAGTGATTGAATGCAGGTAATCTAGCGATTGTGGACAAATCAGTGAATAGAACTGTTTCAGCAGTTCTTTCGTTCATTTGATCTCAACTACGATTTGAGAACTGCTGTAGTCCTAGTGGCGAGAAAGTAGAAATATATCGATAAATGGAAGTAATTCCACGATCAAGTTCTTTATTGCTTTATTTCTTCCTTATTACTTTATTAATTTTCCAGGCTCTTAGTTAGTACTATTAATTCGAAATAACACTTATTACTTATTACCGATAATAGTAACGTGCTACCCCTACTAGGCATATATAATAACATCCTAGTCTTGTTCCTTGGTAGAATCCGGTAGTAAGATGAGCGAGTTTAAGAAATAATATGATTTTCCAAACTTTAATGAGCCTATTCTAGCGCTTATTGCCAATTCATCGAGTAACAAGTATTTAGATACATCGGTTGAATATATTAGATAAGAAACTGAATGGAATACTATAATGTATTTTTATATGAATACAGCTAAAGTGGGTTCATTATTACTGATTTCTTGCATATTCTACTTGGAGAAGAAACGCTCATGTTTATCAGCACTCATGACCATGAGCTGCACACCCCATAAGCCAGCATGATCCATGTTTTTTTACATTGTTTGAAGATTGCTGTAAAACGAATTAGGTTTTGGTGCATTGTGGTAGACTCGGGCGTATTTAGTAGATTCAAGTAGCTTCTAATGGATTTCCGTACACTCCAGTCAATCTATTGTGCAATCTAATACCCTCTATTAGGATTCACCAGGATCTACCAGGATCCACCAGGATCCATCAGGATTCACCAGGATCCATCATGATTCACCAGGATTCACAGGACCTAAGGATCCACTATTTTCCCTTTGGGTTTTTTAATACTATCATTTGTTGTGATAGATGATTGTATTGATGTTGTATGTGTATTGGTATTCGTGGTTGTTGTTTGATTTGCTGTTGTTTCAGCTGATGCAGTGATTGGTTTATTAATTTGTTTCTTTGGTTTGGTGGTTGTTGTTGTTGATTGTTTTTTGTCTTTTGGATTAACTATTTGAACATCTTCACCACTATCCGAGAATGATGATGATGATGTTGCATCGTCGTTGATTAATGTTTCAACTGATGAAATAGTTTCTTTGATTTTTTTTGATCTTCTGTTGAAGTGATTTAAACAATCGTTTGGTTGTTCCTTCGATGTTTTTTTCCATCTTACTGGCAAGTAGATTGATAAGTTCATCGAGGGTATCATTGTGTAAGAGACCTTGTTGACGTTGATACATGTTTGGTAATGAAGGAAATTCACTGCTATCATGTAATAGTAGTGTGGTGGTTTTTGGGCTACTTGTGAACGAATATTGATTTATTTAAATTCAAAATTCGCTTTTCTTGTTCTAAAAAGTTAGAACAATCATTAACAGTTGCCAAATGTTTACCATTACAATTGTTACATTTAATTGCATGATTTGCAGCAGTGCATTGCTCTATACGATGGTTATCACCGCATTTAGCACATTTTTGCTGTTTTGTTTTGCAGTACTTTGCTACATGATTGAATTGAAGACAGATGTAGCATTTTACTGGGTTTTTATTTTGTAATGCAGCTTCACCATTAAAGTGCATCGAATCCACTTGTTGTCCAGTGTGAATGAATGAGTTTCGGCTGTTTCCATCTTTAAATGTAATTTTAATGGTGCTTGTTGATATATTACCTTCTTTTCGGTTAAATCGAGTAACATTAACAACATGAAGACCAGCTTTTGTTAGTGCTTCGGTTACTCGATTATCCGGTATTTCGAGGTCTACTCTCTTTACGAAGGCGACCATTTCTGCATCCTTGATTGGTTGAATCGATCGAGGAACAAATATTTTTGCTGCTTGTTGATCATTAGCTGCAAGAATTATTGTGAATTCATTTAAGAAGCGGTTAAATGAGCTAACATTACTTGCATATAATGTGAATAATCCAGATCTACTAAGTTGTATGTCGTGGATTTTAACACCATTTTAATGCTCTTTTAATAGACCATTAAGTTGGAACTTGGCGATCTTGACTCCCTCTATAAAGAGGGGGGGGGCAATGGTGAATTTTGATTGGCTGGATTTTCCAACCAATGATGGTCTTCCAACTTGTGAATGGCCATTTTATCAGCTGTTTGGTGAATTTGGTTGCTTTGTTTGTCGAGGTTTTGGTTGCACCGCTTACCACCGGGAATTTCGCCTCCTCTTTTCGGAGGAATTTCCGAAGAACACTTAAAAAGTGTGTGAGTTCTGACTCAGACACGAACGAAAAAATTCTTAAAAAGGACTTAAACGAAGATGGTTTTGACAAAAATAAAAGAGCAGAAAAACAGGGGCACTCCTTAAGTGCAAAATATAGATAAACTAAAATGCGACTGATCGCTAGCTAATCAGAAAGACGAATGTCAGTTTTCATTGAAACTACACTACATAAACAGTCATGTATTGCTTATTATGACATAAGACAGCTAAAAAAAGTCGAAGGTAATTAGAAGAATAAGAATCTATGATCACTATAATCCCACATTGCGAATCGCTCATCAGCAGCGGAATTAAAACATATGCACAATCATTTACGGTAAAAAAAATGGTAAAATGATTGTAATAAATGTTTCAAATACAGTCTCTGTACAACTATCGCAATAATAAATCTAGTTGAGTATGAAGTAACTTAAATGGTCAATATGCGACCCACACTGAAAAAAAGATGCCACACGAAACCCTAAAGGGTTCCGATTTTTGCAACGAAGTCGAAGTCCTCTGAGGTTTTGTAGAAATTGGGTTTTGTAAAAAGCCTTAATCTTGATAGCTGATAAAAGGGGTTTTGTACTTGGGGTTCTGTATAGCTCATCACGCAATATTGAAAGAAAAATTCGCCTGGTGCTATGCTCCACAATGGACATAGTTTTCCACCACTATCCACTGCAAAACAAACCCACTCTCTAAAAAAGAACTGGGTTCCGTAGAAATCACCAGGGAATATGTCTGAAAGTTGCCGTATTCTGTACTAGAGCACAGAATATCGGTGGAACATGGAAGCAGTAATTCGACCGGAAATTTTCCGAATTTTGAATGATTTTTTGTGCATCCTGCTGAAAGGGGTTACAAGTTGGTCGGAACTCATTAGAAAAATCAGGAAAGTTTGCGACTATAATAATGCTTCCATGTTGCACCGACACCGTATGTTCTCCCACAAAATACGGCGACTTTCAGACATACTTTCTGCCAATTCCTTCATATTCCTGTGGGTGGAGCGATCGGTATGCGATATTTCATTTAAACAGAAATAAAATATTTTATCAGAGTGTAACTTTCAAAATTGAACTCACCATCAGTATTTGCTCATCTGACGACTGATCTAAATAGAAGGAAAATAATCTATCACGCTGTTACATACAAGAATGAAACTTACTATTAAATATTGTGTGTAGGTGTGTGAGGGCGAGTGTTAGTTTTCTCTATACACACACCCAATGTACAATACATGTCCCCAATGAGTTATCACGAAGACGTATATTACGAAACCTTTTTGTGTGCGAAACTCGAAAGGGTTTATGACGAAATCTCTCGGGTATCGCAAGTTCCAACGGGTTCAGAACGAAACCTTCCAAAATTTTTAAACTTTTAAAATTTTTTTACTGAACCTTAGCTATTCCCAAACCTCATACAGGTTTCGTGTGATTCTACAGCAATTTATATAGTACAGTAAAACGCCACAGAACGTTCAAGGTTTCGCTTTATACCTTTCTTTTTAGTGCAGATATGATCTGTATATGATATAAATAAAAAGTGAATTTTAAAACTGCTTGTAATTATACAAAGTATTGCGAGCTGAAAACGGCCCTTATTTACTTTATTCACTATTTTAACGCATATTATTTTTCATCGTACACTGCAAGAAGAACGGACAGTGAACACTTTCCTTGTCAATCGATCGATCTAGGCAATTTTTAAAGGCCAGTAACTCGAACAGTACAAAACCATGAGTATCACGACGAAGCGACGCTCACTAAAATTCTGAATTGACTTATCCTGAAAAAAGCACACGCCAGCTTCTAATTTGCTTTTATTTAAGTATCGAAAATAGTTCACGATTAGAAAGTTCTAGAAAGTGATAAACGGTTACAGCAATTGTGAAAAAATACGAAAACCATAGTAAGTGATATTGGTGCTGTGTGAAAACGCATAAAACCATCGAAGAAAAACTGTCATGGAGAATATCATTGCTCTTCCTTCGTTCCATCTATCCGGAACTTGAATATGTACCCGAGGCTGTATTAAATGTAAGTGTCAATGTGGCAGAACTTGTGGTCGGTGAGCCTGCTGGTACAGATCCTGCTGTATCGACCGAATATGTCATACTAGGGCCACTTCCGGAACCTAAATTAGAAAGGAAAAGAAACTAATAAAAATGTATAGTAATCATCTGGCAATACTCTTACCCTGAACGCCAATTGTGCACGAAGCACCTGAATCAGATACTTGGTAATATAAATATCTAACTACATTGGGTGTAGCTTCAAAGAAAACAATTTGGAAGTGATAATATAGAGTTGGTGCACCGTAGTGAGCCATGTAAAATTCGAAGACTAAATTTCGATTGGGGTATGTGCCTGTTGTACCATAGTAAACACTTTGAGATGTTCCTGCAAATATATAAAGATCATCCCAATAGCCAAAGGCGGTTGGCCCACTGAAGCTACCACTTGGTAAAGGTCCGTTTGTGTAACCACTGGAGCAGCCGGACAGACATACGCACTGAAATTTGTTTAACAAACTCTAGTTTTTAGAATATCGAGTTAACAATAATTTCAAGTTTTTCAAGGTATTCTGCATTGCCACAGACTGTTATCCTTTTTGTAAGATTTTTAACTATTCTTGATTCATCAGTGCAATCTAATTTTCAGAAAACATAATTTCAAACTAAACGTAGAAACAACCACAAGTTTTAAATAGACGTAAGATTTATCTGACGACTCGTTCGTCCTTTTCTTAACGGACAAGGCTATTTCAAATAAAGTATGTTTTGTAACCAAGGTTGATATTGGCAGTTTTTGACTACTCGAGGAGCCAACATATATTTTCGAAAGAAAGCTTATTTGCTCAGTCCGTTTACGGCTAAAATTATGGTGGAACTCGCATACATCCTTTGGGCTCACTAAGCTAGTCAAAAATAAGTTATGTGGACCATTGTTGTAAAAATATATATTCATTTCGAAGCTCTGTAATTAGAGCATTACACTGTGAACTAGAAAATAATGTATAGAGTAAAATAATATATATTCTAGGAAAGTTCATACGAATTCATCGATGAATTTCTACTTTCTTGAAAATGCGATGTTCTAGAAGATAGATATAAGAAATTTGATTTTCTAATTAGAAAATCGAAACTGAATTCTTATGGGCTTTTCTAGAAATTCGCATTTAATTTAGTAGTTACAGCATTTTCTGAAAAATTGAAATTCAATTTTCATCATTATTTTATAATGAAGGTTGAACACAGAAAATAAATACCGAGTAAAATGTTCCGTGCACCATCATAAATAAAACAAATATGCGAATTGAAATGTAAGTTATAACATAGTTACTAGAAAATGCTCCCTTATGACTCAATTAAGAGAAGAAAAATTCTAATCAAATAATTTCACGATTTGAAAACATTTTGATAAAAAAAACAACACAAATTACGATGCTCAAATTTAAACATAAAACTACTACGTAACAGTCAAAATGCAATTTGAAAAATATGTAACCTTACACATATCGATGTTGCAGGCAGAAAATTCTACTTTTAATATTCTTGTCAGCCATAAGAAATGCGTCGCTATTATGCACCTGTTCCTACAAAATGGATTAACTCATGCAGTATGTGAAATAAATTTATGGATAAACTCGTTATAGCTGCCGAATGAAATAATGAATGCACACCACTGTCGTCTGATATATACATGGTGTAACAATGACTCTATAACAGTCATTGTCTAAGTGACTTTCGAAAACTCAGTAACTAATTTCTGAATTTTATACAATCTAAATTGATTTTCTAAACATTCGAAATTTGGCGAATGAATCATAAAATCATTAGAATATTTTGCCTTATTTACGATCAAATTTTTACAAAATATAATTTAAATAAAATGACACGGCTTTTTCATTTATTCTAGTTCCACATATGTTTAGATTTTACATGGTTTAAAAACCCAAATACTTGAAAAATGCTAATGATACGTGTACTTACGCCATTACTCTGAACAGATGCTGAAGACGTAGTATAACCGTACAGTGTTATCGAGAATGGAAGAGAAATAGTGACATATGCGTCATCGACATTAACCGTTCCACCCCAACCACTTATTGTGACTCCACCTATAAGTTGAACAGCAGGTGCACCACTACAAGCGCCATTTGAACAACTTGTATATGTTGAAGAACACACATAACCAATGGAACCGCAGTTATTGAAATCAATAAGAAGATTAACACACGCACCAGATGGTGTTCGAACATATCCTGTAGGACAAGGTGCTGATGCTAAAAATTATACATTTTTTAAATTACATTTCTCAATACCAGCTCACATATCTAAGAAAAACACTGACTTGTGGTTGTTGTAACGGTGGTTGTCGTAGTCGTTGTTGTCGCAGTTGTCGTCGTAGTTGTTGTCGTAGTCGTAGTTTTAGTTGTAGTGGTAGTTGTTGTCGTGGTGCTTGTGCTAGTCGTGGTAGTCGTAGTTTTAGTTGTAGTTGTCGTAGTAGTCGTAGTTGTTGTCGTAGTTGTTGTGCTAGTAGTAGAAGTTGTGGATGTTGACGTCGTTGTTGTAGTTGTTGTGCTAGTAGTAGATGTCGTGGTTGTAGTTGTAGTTGTCGTCGTCGTTGTTGTAGTTGTTGTAGTTGTAGTAGTAGTAGTTGTAGTCGTTGTAGTAGTAGTCGTTGTTGTTGTAGTTGTTGTTGTAGTTGTAGTGGTAGTGGTTNATCTTTCTTTGTTCTCATATCTATCTATTGGTCAAGAGACCTAAGTGAAGTCGTAGTTGTTGTTGTTGTCGTAGTCGTTGTTGTCGTTGTTGTTGTTGTCGTTGTTGTTGTCGTTGTTGTTGTAGTCGTAGTAGTAGTTGTAGTTGTCGTTGTCGTGGTTGTTGTGGTTGTTGTTGTCGTACTTGTAGTACTGGTCGTCGAAGTCGATGTCGTACTCGTTGTGGATGTTGTTGTAGTAGTGGTTCCTCCTATAGTAGACAAAGAAATTAAGTAGAAACAATTTTGTAAGAAGACATGAAATATGAAATAAAATAAAATAGTCAGATTGTTTCGTACAGTACGATGTGAATATTTCAAATAAAATCTTTACACACAAAATCATATCGGTTACGAGCATCAATAATATATATTCCGATATGCAAGCATGGTATTTCTTCTTCGTTTCCACTTGAAAGCTTTATCCATTTTAAATACTGCTGCGTCGAACACATATTCTAATTACGCGGGAAGGTCCCTGGGTGTTTCTGTGGGATTTCAACGAAACCTATTTGGGTTTGTGACGTCAAATGTTAGTATCTCTAATATAGCAAAATTAGAGGCTGAGATTAATACGCTGAAACGTTTGGAGTAAAAACATTTTCAGCTTAGAACCCTGAGTGGGACTACAACGGAAATTTTTACACTTAACAAAGTTCACGAAAAATTTGAAATACGAATGTGCTCTTCCGCGATATTCACATCATTTAGATAAAGATCCTCTAGCGCAAGATCATCGAACAACTAATTTACAAGAGATTCGAATGTTGCTATTGAAGCTTTCTAATTAAATAATATTCATTTTCGGTGATCTTTTCTTCGATCATATTCGTTTCGAGAATGACAGAAACTTTCTATAGTTTTTAATTCTCACCTTGCTATACATATTGTTCTACGTTTTTGAAACTACCAATCGAAAGACATTGAAAACTTACATGGATGGCTTGAAGCTTACGCTGCAATCGCGCTGAATTCACAAAGTGTCATAGGTACAAAATTCGACATGTTAGGGAAAATGTTTATTTCTGCTGGGGATCGCTAGTTCCTTTGCCAATGATAGAATTTATGATTGTAAAAAGTTTAGATTCGCATAGAACACAAAATTCTGAGTTAGAAATGGTGTATTTTGATGAGTTTGAGTGAATAATTATGCTAGGAGGGTCAAATAATCGGCGATGTGGCGTAAATAGCGATTAGAGCTAATAGATAAAGAAAACCTTTTTGATAGTTCTGACGGTAATATTCGTTATCAACACTCCTAAATCTTCAAACTTTTATGATTTTGGCTCGCCAATAAAAACAAATTGTATTCATGATATCTGAGTGTGACCCCAGACACAAAAAGTGTGAATATTGTTTTTCGAGGAATATACTAAATAAGAATGACCAAGAGTGAGCGCCCATTCTATGCCAAAGAAACGCTCGCGCTCATGGAGAGCATGAGTTATGCACCCCAAATATGGATTGACTGTATAAATCGACAGAACTTCAATAGCAAAACGACTTAAAAGTACCGATCAAATATGAAGATATGTCCGTATGAAATATTTCTGCGATATTCCGTTAGCTGTGAAAAAAATCTTAATATTTATCTGTAGTCCCACACCTAACTGAGTATTCCCAACATATTAGATCTTATATATGTAAATGGAGTAAACTAAAAATCCACCTGTATCTTTATCTATCATGATGTGAATGTATTTAATTGTTGAAATCTATCGGGTTGATGCAAAAGTCTCCGCCGATCTTTTTAAAAATTGGTTAAAGCCATTTAATAGTATTATGCACGCGTGATTTTTGTACATATGATACTGCTTGTGTCGTACTTTGATCGAACGTGTCGAGATTGTTTTAAAAGATTTCGTGAAGGTGACATGTCATTAAAAGATCGTCCGAGATCTGGACGTCCTCTCGCATCTGATATTGAACGATTAAAAGTCCTGATCGATGAAATCCACCATTAACCTCCCGTGAATTGTCATCAATGCTTGGGTGCAACCAATCCACTATCGATCGCCATTTGCATGAAATGGGAAAAGCTAATAAACTTGGAACATGGGTTCCACATCAACTAACCTCGGACAACATACAGCAGAGAATCACTATATCCAATTCTTTGTTGTCAAAATGCAACCGACATCGATTTCTTCCGCAGATAGTCACTGGTGATGAAAAGTGGGTTCTATATGCCACTCATACGCGCAAGCGCCAGTAGGTACATCGTGAAGGTTTTCCCGAACCAGAACCAAAAAACGACCTGCACCCAAAAATGGTGACGCTATCGATTTGGTTGGATTACGAAGAGATAATCTACTGGGAAATTCTACCTACTAATACTACGATAGACTTGAAGCTTTACTGCCGAAATTTGAAGGTTGCTCTACAGGCAAATCGTCCAGAAAGACGAAAATTTTGATTGCTTCATGATAATGCAAAACCTCATGTCTCAAAATTTACCCGCCAGAAGCAGGAAGAATTAAGGTTGAAGGTCTTACCCCATCCACCATATTCACCATATTTGACACTATCCGACTATCATCTGTTTTAATCGCTCCGCAATCATCTGGTCAAAAAACACTTCGATGATCAAGCCCACCTAAAATAGGACCTCGAAACTTTCTTTTTGTCTTTTTCTAAGAAATTCTTTTAAGATGGTATTCTGGATTTGCCTAAAAGATGGGAGCATGTGGTAGATAACAACGGTGTATATGTTGTTGATTGATGATATTTGTTTCGATAAAATCTTGAAACCGAGAAGAAGAAAAAAATCGGCGGAGACTTTTGCATCAACCCGATATATAAAACTGTGACAATACCAGCTACAAAAAAAGGTTATCGCTAATGCGAACGTAAACAACATACTTCTTACTATACTGTTCTTTCTAGATTGATAACAAAAATCAGCCACACCATTTATTGCTCAACTATATTGACCGTACTTCATTTCAGGAAATGGACAGCTTTAGCCAACCATCATTGGAATTATCACAAATCGTGCATAGTTTCATACAATAGAATAAAAGCTACACGACGTTTATCAAGTTCATACTTAGCTTCAAAAATCTTTAAAAAATGTTTTGAATTTTGAAGCGCTGCTGATAATTAGTTGCGAATGATTTGAAAAAAGATTAGAAAACTCAATATAACAGGCAATGATTATTGGCTCATTAGTTTTCTGAAAAGTCAAGATACGAAGATGAGTTAGATCCGATTGAATTTGTTATCAGACTCATTTATGTAGACGCGTATTGCTTGCAGCTTCAAGTCTGTATGTTCGGTTGGGACACGAATACGAAGTTCAGTTTTAGTGTAGGTATGGGGGCATGGTTAGGACTCTATGTAAACGTAGGTGTTGATTATACCAAGAGAAGGCAAATATCGATCCACATTTAAACAGATTCGAAGAAATATATTTCATGCATTCTCCTGTCTATGCAAGATGTCCAAACCCAAACATATTTTAGACTGGATCAACACCTGTATTCGTTTCTATGAAACTCTTAAACCTATGTGTTCAACCGCAATATGTCTATAATTCATCGGCTTGCAAAGACAGAGTCTCTTTTGATGAGATTTTGACAAAATTAGAAGATGAATCGACCTTAATGATATTCAATAAGAGACAAATGAGGTAGGGGGCGTACTTCTTGGTACTTGAGAAACACAGAAGTACGCTTCATCCCCTTGGCGTTATTGTTAACTGTACTTGGACACACAGACTAGTTTGTATGTAAATTACGGATTAGTTAAGTAAAAGTTAGTTTTACGATGATATTAAAAAACGCAGACTAAAAATTAGATCATGTTTTCATATTTGTACATCCCATCTGAATTCTACAACTAAAAATCCCGCAATCCATATTGTTTTTTTAAGGATAAAGAACGATTGAATGTGAACTGTATGTTGTTTTTCTGATTAGATACCTATATTATAACTGATAACTGCAACAATAATAGTCAACTGCGATTTAATATCTTCTTCACATACGCAGATTGGTAGAAAAGACATCGAAACATAGCTCAGCATTATTTTCGTATAATACGCTCATAATAAACGAAGTGTGTACGTTCACATCACATACTTTTATTGTGAATATTTTTTGTTAACTGAAAGAAATTGCTATTTTTATCTCTATTATACATGTGCAAATGAGGAAGTTGATATTTGAATTACTGGCAGCGAAAAATATATTTAATGGTTTAGGAATAAATACTTACCATTTAAAGTGAAATAGATGGTAGGAATAGCAATTACTGCCACCAACGCTGTAAATGTTACCAAGATAAGTAAGACTTTGGTAGTTGTTGATAAGCCCCTTGGTCTATGAAAAAAATGTTCTCCAAATGAAAGAAAAGCATATAGGAAAGAAAATATATACATAGCTGATGTAACTGCAGGAACCGATCCTAAATTAACATTCACATCTCGAGCAGTTGTTGAACCATTCGTTATTTTAATTGAATTTGAATTACTCGAAGTATATGACGCAGCTAATTGAGTCTAATCAAAATTAGGTTACAGATGATATGAAAAAGAACAACAGAAACTTGGATAATCATACTGGATTCGCAGCAGAAACTTCTAAAAGCGGAATGTTTCTTGCAACTGCTGTAGCCATTTTGTCGTATTCCTTTTCGATGTTTGTTCGAACTGCCTGCAGTATACGTTCTTAAGTTTTCTATTTAACTCATGGAGAAAAGGCACTCAATGAGAGCGATGATAGTTGCATTTTCATCAGAGACAGTGAATTTATTTTCGCTACGCAATAAACTTAAAAAGGGCGACGCTGCTTGCTTTTAATTTTGGTATGTAGTGAAAGATATGCCCACTTGAAAGAAGCCCATTTATTTTTGTTAGTTTATTGAAAGTACAGAAACACTGCTCAGTGGAAGAGTGGCTGTCTTTGTATTGTATAGAAGTTCTCTAAATAATAGCATAGTCAACGAAGAAGAAGAAAAGAATGCATGTAAATTGTAAAAGAATACTATCGCGTTTTGTTTACACTAGTTTGCCGGTAAATGAATAATAATGAAATGTTCTGTAAATGATGTGTACTCCAGATGAAAAATAATAATTGCATCAAAAAACAGCGAGAAAGTGATGACAAACATTTTTAGGTTGATCAGATGAAGTAGCTTGGTTACTGATAGATACAAAAACAAACTCAGCGTTGCAACCATACATATCGAATTACAAACAATCTAACTCTACTGTTATCAAAACCCGTCCGAACACTTAAAGACTTTCAGTTACCACTGCTCTGACATATAATTAGATAGCTAGTTTCACAACTTTTTTAAATATTGTGGATTCTTTTTTAAGAACTGTTAGATAGTTACGTTTACCTAACTCTTTATTTCTTCAAACCAACACTAACTAGAATCCCTTTTACAACTCCAACTTCTCTTCCAATACGACTTCACTTAGGTCTCTTGACCAATAGATAGATATGAGAACAAAGAAAGATGTAGTGGTTATGGATGCAACAATACCATTTGGAGACACATAAAGATTGCCAAGTTTCACCTAGTAGTGATCACAAATAGCTCCACTACCTAAAAATAACGACCCAATTATTAAAATAAAAACTAAAATATAGCTAATACCTGCATTGATCTGGAGAAGATATGAAAATCATCTTTATAAAAGGAATATCATTTAAAATTAATCTTTTTTTTATGATTTCCCTCATATGAGTAAAGGTCTATTCATAGGCCATTACTGTGCTAACGTCTTGCTCCCCGTTTGTGATTCAATAGAGTATTAGAAAAATTAGTTAATAATAAAACGTTTGAAAATGACAACTAATCAAATAAGCATCACCTTGATGAATGGTGAATTATACACCATGCTGTGACTTAGATTAGCTGTTGTTTTTAATTTTATCGGTTGTATATATGTATGTATCATATAAAAAATTATCTTCCTGGCAAATTTTCCCATTAAATAGTTAAAATGTGCTATCTAAAATCTTTCTAGTAAGAGCGAATTATTCGCATGCAGTTAAAATAAGTATGTGTACAGTTTGGTTGATGGTTATTTTGTTGACCACATTTTCTTTCTTCTTCGTTCCATCTATTAAAATTATATAGAATATGAAAGGTATTCAGATGTTTTCATTACCATCTTGTTTATGTAGCACTATTGAATATGGACTGAAGAAGAAGAAGATAGAAGCAAGAGTAATCCACAGTATTATAATTTCACGTGCAATATATACTTAGACCATTTAATTTTGTGTGAAGGAACTTTTTCAATAACTAAACTTCATATTATGAAGCTTAATAGTGCAGTAATAAAGTCTTATTTTGAGAAAGAAATTGAAAAATAATAAAAAACTCATTAAATGTCTTGGTCAGAAAGAAGAATCGACGAAATAGTTTTACTTTTTTGGGAGTTAGTTCTGTACAAATTAGAATTTTATTTTTACCTTCGTTTAACGTTAATATTGAATGGATGGAATAACGTCGAAAGGAAAAAGAGCGAAAAAAAATGTCAAAGGAAAAACATCGAAAGGAATAAGATAGAAGAGAAAAATAGCGAAAGGAAAAAGACAGAAGAGAAAAATGTCGAAAAAAGAAAACATCGATAATATTGATGGAAAGAGGTCACTCGCCTCCTGCACTGTGAATATTCCTTATTTCGTTCGTCCATAACTGTTCTAGTGTCCGTCTATATTAGTGCAATATGTATCGCTAGATTTATATTCTATAATACAATACGTTAATGGTTTCTTGTTTACTTCGCATTGATACTTATGTATCACTGTCGTATCATTTATTTCTAAACGAAACTTCTTTATAGACGAAGGCAAAATTTCACCTATATTTATTTAATTAAAAATATTTTATAGCAGAGGTATATTTTATGTTAATCAATAGATATAATGAATTCATCTTCAAGTACAATGTCTTTCGTTTTATCACAAAAAGGAAAACCATTGCTTGTTATGGATGATTATGTATTTAGGTTAAATAAAATTACGAATACCACAAAATATTATCGTTGTGAAAACAGAGATTGTACGGCAACAGCTCACACTGATTTAAATAATGTTCTTTTAAAAGTAAATGCTAATCATTCCCATGTAATTGAACCAGAGAAAAAAGAAATTCGTATTTTTAAACAAATCGTCAAGGAACGTGCCACTAAAGAAAGCACTCCTATACCAAAGATATATGAAGAAGAATCAACAAAAAATGATTTTAAAATTCTCGACTATTGCTATTTTACCGTCTCAAAGAGAGACGAGTAAGCAGAAAATCTTATTTATTATACTAACGAATTTTCTTTAGGTAGTTCTTTGAACAAGGCGCGACGTCTTGAAACGCCACCTATTCCTGATTCACAGATTTTCGGCATTCCATATTTATATACTCGAACAATAGAAAATGAAGAATTTCTTTGTGTTGATAAATTCATCAAGAGAAAAACACGTATTTTGTTATTTGCTTCCAATGAACAGCTTAAGGTGTTATTTCAAAATTCAATTGTTTTAATGGACGGAACATTTAGTACTTGTCCAAAAATTTTTGATCAAGTGTTCACGATACATTCAATTAAATATGAACAATGTAAAATCTATTTGATGAATAAACGTAATATCTATATATACATATTTCAATCTTTCTTTCATATAGCATTTATATGCGGGATTGGACTATTACCTGATCGTAAAAAGTCCACTTACAGATTTGTCTTCGAGGAACTCAAAGGTTTAGCTGTTCGAATGAATCTAGTTTTCAGCCCATCCACTATAATTACTGATTTCGAACATAGCTTAGCTGACGCTATTATTAGTGAAGTAATTTTATCTGATTTTAAATTAAGAAAAGAGAATCAAAAAATATTATTTCATTTAGTTTCCAAGTAGCAACCAATATGGTTGCTACTTCCATTTTACTGAAGCCGTGTACAGACAAATACAACACCTTGGGTTATCTAGTGGTTATTGTAGTGATGGAAGTATTCGTATGACATGCAGAAAGCTTATATTATGAAAACTATTGGGTTAAAACGATCGGCATCAAAAGATGGAACGTTTATGGTATTCGTATTAAAACGAGCAATAACGCTAAGGGTATATGTAGTATTAATTTCTCTTTCAAAATGTTTGTATCTCACTAATGTATTTAGGTTTTCATAATCGTTTAAATTTACGCGTAGCAAAGCATCACCCAAACATTTGGATATTGATTAGATGTATACAAGGCGAAGAAATTCGTTTCAATCATGTATTAATTCAGATGATCGGTGGTCTTACGTGTCGAACAAAAACAGCTGCTACGAATGCCATACAGCAACGAATAGATACACTGTATTTACGTTATCAAAATAATGAAATTACTGTTGATGAACTATTACTCGGACTTTCTTATGTCGTTGCAAAAAATACATCGGCGAAAAGAAAAAAATAATTAATTACATTGATTCCTTAAAGCTTATTAATCTATTTATTTGACAATTACTTTATACATGACCTTATTAGATTGTCTTCATTCAATAAAATTATCATTCTTCATAAATTAATATATTCTGATTGATCACTTTTTATTCGCTGAATATTCTTCTTTCGACATTTAGCTTTTCGATATTTTTCTTTTCATTCTATTTCCTTTCGACTTTTTTCTTTTCTTCCTCTTTCCTTTCTACATTTTCCCTTCGCTATTTCTTCGTTCGACGTTTTTCTTTTCTGCCTTTTTCCACCATACCTTAATATTTATCATCATGACACGCATACAATCGTACGCATTCTAATCAAGATTGATCATAGATATATCATCACTAGATAGAATTAATGATTTATTCCTTCTTATAAATCCTAGTAAAGCTATTCTTATGTAACATTTACTTCAGATAATAATTAAGTTTTATTTTTATTATTTGAAATCGGGATAAAGTAACTTGGCTTATTCTCCAGTATGTTCGTTGTAATGCTTTATGATTCTTCTATCAAAAATTTTGCAAAGAACATATCTGCATAGAGGTTTTATGCAAGAAAATTTGGATAGTTTTATAATTGATCACAACCTTGAGTAGGACAATTTTCTCACTGTTTTTAGAAGCCCGGGAGTGTAGACGTGAGATAATGATAGTATTGAGTATAAAATGGAACCTATATATCTATATATATTATACTGATTACTCTAGCGCTTCAACAGTTTAGTATCGGTTTACTAGTTCTCGACAATTTGATTTTTTCTATGTCATGGCTTTAATCAAAGATTCTTACTGAACTCTGATTGCTCACAGTTGAAGTTGTCCTATGTGTACATCATGATCATGTCTGGAAATTGCATCAACAACTTTTACATAAAATCTACATAAAAATTCATATTATTAAGTGTTGCATGCATTGTATCATTGATGGAAGTGATTATAGCGGTCATTTACTCCATTGAATATTTGACTGCAAGGTTTACGGGTTAGATAACATAAGATCAGTGAAAACAGTGCAGCATCAAGTTTCATCTGTTTTCTTTAGATAGATATCAATTGCCAAAAACATTTTTGTAATTTTTATTTATGAATTGGAGTTTTTTTTGTTAGTACTCATTTTTTACTAACGTCTTTGAACCTGGAAAGGTTTTGAATAGAATCAAAGATATTTTGCACCGAGAAATACTGTCGATAATTTTACTTTTTCATTATCACCATCGTATTCATTGGTTTGGTGAAAGTGTGCAAAAATAACTGACCCTTCACAAGTGAATCATCTAGATAAATTTTAAGACTCATTTTAGCACTTAAATCATTATTTTCATATTCAATTATTTTTGTGCTGAACATCATCTTGCTAATCGCTCATAAATCCTTCAATACGTCTTTCTCATCAATTTTATAGGCTGTTTGAAAAAAGAAAGATCAGAGTTGCAGTCAACTATTGCATTCACATAATGCTTTTTCATAGTTAACAGCCATGCGGTCAAATTCACGCTAAGCAATAAACAACTATAACTAGCATCCATTTTTGGAAAAGAGGCGCTTCAGGAAAATGCTTATAATTTTTGAACGGAATGTGATAGAGACCTGCGGTCTTCACCGTTGGATAAGTCCTCTTACGGGACGTAGTACTATCAAATAACCAAGTATTGCGATTAAAATTACCATAGTAGATTTTTGTGCGTAAGCTTGATAAGAACGCAGCTCCCAAAGAACACAATGAAATTTAACTTCAAATTAGTGAAATGGATAGCCTGGTACAAGATCTTTAATTATCCGCAAGACCCAGGTTTCTATCTTTCATTGTTCAAAAATTATAAACATATTTCTGAAAGCTATTATCTCGTATTTCATGCACAAGTAAAACGTTTAAAAACACCTGATATATAGGTTTTTAGATGTTTTCAGCGTGATAGCGCTGTTTATTTGAAGTCTGGGAAATATGTTTAAGTCTGTATTAACGTGAACAGAAATGAAAGTTCAGTGCCACACTTTCTGTTTAGCAGGACAGAATAAAACGCATCCGCTAAACATTCATAATGAAAATTGTGTGATACTGAGTTCTCATTAGTTTTTCTTATACGAAGAGCGGACTGTCTGTTTTATCAAGTATGTTAAGAGAAAATATTCGAACTTCAATTGTTAGACATCTCGACAGACAACCGGTTGTTTACTTTTAATGGAAATGTGACAAGAAAAAAAAGTGTTTTTGATTCTAATATTTTTCCGTTTAATATGTTTTCCAATGTACTCAATAATAAGTCGTATCATGGTTCAGTTTTAATTGTCATCTTTTTGTAACTTCGTTTATCATGCCCTTAGGTCATGAATTTAGTGTAGGTGAAAAAGTTCTTATATTCACCGTAACCAGATTTTGTGAACAAGAAAAAGCAGGGCCTATTATTCCTTTAAACAACGTAGTTGAGAGAATTTCAACGTTGTTAGGCATTTCCGAAAGGTCAGTGAATAGATTGACAAAGGGAATGCATCAGTTGATGGAACAAGAGAAGCAAGAAATTGAAAAACAAGAAAAACAGAAGCGAGAAAAAGAAAATGAACATAAATATCAACTTCGAAGTCAAACAAAGTCGGACTCTGATTTGAAAAACTATCAACCATTTACGATCCTTCCTCGATCTAAAATATTACATGAACGTAAACGTCATACTAGATCTTTAACTGCTTCACTAGAAGAAGTGTCTATTCCTAAACCGCTCTCCAAAAAAGAAGGTAAACATTATTGTTTCTGTCTGAATAAATAAATTGAAATTTTGATTTTTCTTATAAGGTTACTCTGGTGGTACAAAATTATTTCTGGCTGAATATGCCAAAAACACGATTCGGTATTCTTTTTATTTACTGCTGGAAGAGAAAATATATCCAACAACGGCAAGACTATTGTCTCGACTTCGTCAAGATTTCGATGATTTTCCAATTCATTCTGTCAGTAAATTATGGTCTGAGATGAAGAAAGTGAGTGCTAAACTTTGAAGCAAGATTCCGAAAAAGTTTTTCTTTCGAAATTTAGCTCGGATTTACATATCAACGAACAAATCAAGTAAAAATTCCACTCGATTCTAATTTTTTCATTGCCTCTAGAGCTCGTTATTTTCAAACGATAAATCAATTAAGAAAATCTCATGCTCAAATTTAATTCCATGATGAGATATGGGTCAATTTAGGTGATGTTAGAAAAAGCATCTGGGTGTGCGAGGGAAGGGTCGCCTTCGCCAAAGTGAAGGAAAAGGTTAGTTAAATAAATTTCAATCGAGACCTTTTTGATTAACAATCGTTCATTTTGTGTTAGGAAAAAGGTTAGCAATATCTGCATTAATTAATACAAACGGTTATCATCTGAATTCTGTTGATATTTTTCTTTGTTCGGATGAACATAACATGGATAATGATCGATTTATTAAGTGGATATCAGATACATCACTGAAATTACTTGTACTTCGTGGTAAGTGACGAAAACTCAGGCAATTTTTGGCTTGAATCTTCCTGTCAATTCTTATAGGAGAGAATGCTAAAATCGTAATTGTGCTAGACAATGAACCCTGGCATAATGTACTGTCACCAGAATCAACAGTACCAAAAAGATCATGGCGAAAAGGACAAATACAAGAATGGTTAATTGATCATCATGTTTCATTCGATTGTTGTTCTGTGAGAGCTGAACTCTTGGAGCTAGTCTTGGCTAATGCACCACCAAAAGAATATATGGTCAGATATATACTCACTTTCTATCTTACACTACTGTTTTAAAAATTTTCAATTTATTTTCTTTCCAAGACTGATCGAGTTGCTGAACAATTCAACGCACGAATTGTTCGATTACCTCATCGACATTGTTGCCTCAATCCGATCGAATTATCTTGGAATAACTTGAACAATATATGCGTGACAACAATATTACATTCAAAGAGAATGATGTTTATAACTTGGTCTTAAACTTTATGAGCACTGTCGATACAGAATTGGCTACAAGTTACTTCAAACACGTGGAAAAAGTTGAACAGACATTTAAAGATGCAGATTCTTCTCGAAGAAGATATTGAACCGAGTTTAGTAGAAGAGGATACTACGACAGAAGAGGAAGATGAGTAATACCTGTTCATTATCTGGATATTTTCCCAACGGTAATAAATTATAAAACAGAACGATATTTTCGTAAAATATTCAGGTTTTTTCTTCAAAAATGTCTTTCTTTAGATATTTCGAAAGAAAAGAACGAAATTCTGTATTTTTCTTCACAAAAAAAGCTTTAATATTCTCTCTCATATTTTGAAAAATATTTCTTTTCTCCCCTCATCTTTCTTATGCCGTTGCATTTCTCCTAATCATCTATATATTAGATGTTTTTAAACGTTTTAGTTGTGCATGAAATACGAGATAATAGCTTTCAGAAATTTTTTTATAATATTTGAACAATAAAAGATAGAAACCTGGGTCTTGCGGAGAATTAAAGATCTTGTGCCAGGCTATCCATTTCACTAATTTGAAGTTAAATTTCATTGTGTTCTTTGGGAGCTGCGTTCTTATCAAGCTTACGCACAAAAATCTACTATGGTAATTTTAATCGCAATACTTGGTTATTTGATAGTACTACGTCCCGTAAGAGGACTTATCCAACGGTGAAAACCGCAGGTCTCTATCACATTCCGTTCAAAAGTTATAAGCATTTTCCTGAAGCGCCTCTTTTCCAAAAATGGATGTTAGTCTAAAACGTAAAATAATATTTGTAGCTGTTTTGTCAACACTGTTAATATCAAGCCGTAATTGAAGGTGTGACGTAGAAAGACTGAAAGGAAAAATGCCGAAGGAAAAATATCGAAAATTTGCAATAAGATGTTTTTATTCTTGAAATCATAATAGCATCATAGCATAAATCATAGATAAATAAGAGTTATAAAGAAAAATACACATATCCAATATTTCCTAGTTGTTGCTGTTTTATTCAGTTGGAAAATATATTTATCTGATACAAGGAAATACTTTCCTTTTTGCTACTGAATAAATGAAATAACTGGAGTTGGCGGATGATTCTCGCCAGATAAAAATGAGCAAGCTGTAGTCATCATGATAGAATTTTAATCATTGTATACTATTTTACGCCTATTTTAGCTAGTTTTCATAAGATATTACTTATCAATAGTATCAATGGTTAACAGTGTCAAACCAATGGAATAATCAGATTAACAACAATGAACAATAAACTATTAGAACCTTCATTTAGTAGAGACGTCGCTTTTTTCTATCTGTTCTGTTTTCGATATTTTTCTTTCGGTATTTTTCCTTTCGGCCTTTCTACGGCCAACCTAATTGAACCACAAGCTTATACTGACGAGCATTGATATCTAGACGTCGCAAAGAATTTGGCAACATAGTATGAGATTTTCTCGAGTTTTTAATTTCATTATCATTGTTCACTTTGAAATTCTGTTCGTTATAAATGTTACTTCGTTACAGTTTCGTTAGTTTTATATTGTTTTTCAGCTTTGGAAAAATAAATCAGAATTTTTAACTACAAAATCAAGATGTGAAGACACATGAACGATTTCTTCAAATTTTTATTAATTATCATATCTGTATGGTCGGGATGGTGTCTTTACACTTTTTTTACTAGAATGCAATATGATTATCTGGAAACATCATTCTCATTGACTTTCAAGAGACGTTTAGCGTATAGAAATAGATAAAATATGCTATGCTTCTAAAGCCGATTTCAAGTAGGTTCTGAAAAAAAACTAATTTTTGTGCAATTTGCGCAAAACCAATATGAATTTGTATGCGCAGAAAATCTTAGTTGCGTTGATAAATCAAACAAAGAAGAGTTAATTAACTAGATTCTAGGCTAACCAGTTAAAGATATACACCTGGACACTTACAGGAATGTTGCATTATGCGAAGGTGTATAGGTGGCCAAAAAGGATTAAACAAGTACCCCGAACCTCCCCTTTAACCACATATCCCTATTTGTTTTTGCTTATTTCAAAATAGTTGTCTATTGAATACAATAGAAAAAAATATGTACTCATAAGTTCTACAAAAACCTCTCGTGGTTTCATGCAAATAGATAAAACCGCTACGAAATATTTTATTTAAAAAGGTTGTTGTCCTTCTTACTAATCACGAAAACGACGAGTTAACATGGTATTTAAAATGGCAACAACAAATACTAAATGGATTAAAAAGAAACATGTTTTGGTTTGAACATGAAAGAATGCAAAATGTCACAAAGTTTGTGTCAATAGAGAGATTACAACATAAATAGTTACAAATAGCATCGCTTTTATCGCAACAAGATTATAGCACAAAAACATATATTGAAAGTGTTTATAATTCGATGGAATAGTCAGAGTTTTCGAAGAGCATAATTATATTTTGAATATACTTTGATTGTGTGCATCGTGTCAGTGGTGACAATTAAACTTCGTCAAGAGAGTTATCTCAATACTTTTGCAAGCTGAAAATTCATGACAAAAATATGAAAATTGTTTATGCATCAACAAATCTCTGGTGAAAACGATTGCCGACTGATCGATCAGTGAGTTACTCAATCGAAGGGTTTCAATATGTTTTAACCTTAGAGTCATTTTTTCCCATGCTTTAATGAAAATGTTGAACTGATAACTTACAACAACAAGTTGTTGTTTTTTATCGTGTTTTCGTCGGTGAATAGACAAAATCATTTCGCATGAGATTAATATCATGCATAAGATAATATATGTCTGATAGAAAATAAAAGCGTCTGCCTAATTTTTTCAAAAGAATACAACTTCGAGTTCTATAAAACAACAAAATATAAGTATATATATATATATGTATATATAGTTTTCTATCTGTGTTTTAGATGTGAATTTGCCAACGGACAACGATGTTTGCTTTTATTAGAATCATTAATCTACTGGTTATGTATTCATATCGAAGTCAGAAAATTACTAAATCTATAGAAACGAATTCTTTAGTTTCAAATATAAGATTCTACATGGAACTATCATCCATAGCTATATTTTTTTGATTATGTGATTATTAGAGGTTAGATCATCCCTATTAAAACTTTTACTAGCTTATAACTGTATGTTTGAATATCGAACTGTAATTTGCTAGTTTCGTTTTTTTCGCTTAGTTAGATATAAGCTTCATGCATCAAATTAGGGATGTAACAATACCATTTGGATACTCATAAAGCTTGCCAATGTTCACAATGAAAATCTACTAGTACCAACAGAAAAGATGGCCAGTATTGGTGAGTATTAGTAAAAAACGGTAATTTGCACGAATACTCACCAATACTGGCCATATTTTCTGTTGGTACTGGTATTTTATATGCTCCTATCAGATAGAGCTAATTTCGCTGGTTATAGCTAACGCAAATTATTGGTTGGTATTGGTAGATTTTCATTGTGAAAATTAACAATTTTTATGTGTCTCCAAATGGTATTGTTACATCCCTACACCAAATGCATGAATTAATGCTACGATTATAGTTTGGTTTAGTTTCTACCAAAATGATTAAAATTTATAACCCAGGCATCTAAACAAAAAGAATACCACACTAAACTTTTCTTCGGTATTATTTCCGAAAAATTTTTCATTTTCACACATGTTCGCTTAAACATGGAAAATGATTCAGAAAATGGTACACAAAGTTAGAATCCCAAAAGGGTTTCGTTCTGTGTTTTTATTTTATAGCGTAGCCCAGAAACTCTAAAAGTATATAAGCAACTCTTTAACCATCATTGTTGATATAAGAGTGATATGATGCATGACGAAATAAATATGATAGAATCAGAATATACTTTTATACCCTATTATATGTTTGCAACAATGTGATGTATATCGAAACACTAGCGAGTCTCATCGTGACTATATGAGATACTCTCACTCTCTTTACTATCAAACAGAGTAAAATAAAATATCGTCACATTTATTAACAGTTTTCAGCTATATATTCTATTCATATTTTTTACTAGTGTTCAGTAGTTGAAGTTTCTTTGAAAAGAAGTTAACAAATTCGCGAATGGGTTTTCTTTTCAGATGAAGTTTACTTCTTGTTGGTCGTTCAGTCTTTTACTTACATTCTCATTCGTAGTTGAAGGACAGTTGATGAAGAAAATTTCCAATGAGCTGCTGTCTTTAGACTGTGACCAGCCACTCGTAACGCTTTATATTTTTTCATCTCAGCCAAACCCAATCTGGACGATGAACATGACACAAAAAGTTAATATGAAAAGTATAGCAAGGAAAATTGTTGAATATTATGATACCCATAATTCTACTACCAAATCAACTACAAGAGTTATGGGTTATCAGGGTTTCTCTGTCAGTTGTTCCGAAAAGAACGAAATTTTCGTTCATGGGGCAGCTATTATTGAGAAAGAACTGTTAGAAAGTGGTCGACCATATCTTTCGTCAGCAATCATTCATCATGTTCTTGAAAATATCGGACAAACTGCACCTATGAATCCGTATAGAAGTTTAAATCGTATCAATTGTGATCATGTTCCTATTAAAGGTCCGGATAGTGTACCTGTATTCAATCCACGAACAGATAATGGTGGTTGCTTTATAACGAAACAATCCAAGAACAATTGTTATGCATACGGTAATTGAAACAGGCTCTTGTCTTTTCAATCAATACTTAGATGAGCATAGAGACCATCATTGGTTGGGGAATTCTATAGTTGTACTTTTCATGTTTTTAATCATGTCTCTGTTTAAAAGTTTTTATACACTGTATTTTTTCTTTCAAGCTGCTGATATCGTCACAAATACTTTTCCTCAACCAGGTAATATATATATATATATTTCGTTTTACTAATGAAATAAAAGTTGCTCTTCAATGCGTAGGACGCTATAGTGGAAAAACATCGCCATCACTTACATGCGAATCTCTCAGACATGCGTGTATTAGAGATGGGTTGATTTATAAGGGTACAACGCTTCCGATCGGTCAACCAAAAAGTGGTCACTATGCTGCTCTATTTATTTGGCCTGACAAAGATTATCATTGGGCCAGAAAAGTTTGCGACACTTTCATAAAATCTGATTTTCAATTTTTTCGTTCATAGGATGCAAATGGCTACTGGTCTCACAAACCAGGGGGTAAGCAATATTGTATATATATTACAATACAATCAATTAATCCTTTTTCTTTTCTTTTTTAACCTAGCTGGACCGGTAGCAAATAGGGATAACATGGGCTATCTGATTACCAATCCGGCAAAATCTAATTTTACACCATGGACATTATTCTGTGCGTACTACATTGTACAACCATCCAAAGTTCATATAAACTAATTTATTTTCATAAGATTTCTGATGAGTGTTCAACTTATGAAAATGAATTCGATTGACTTTACTTAACATACTCAGCATTTGAAATAAATATACGACGACTGTATTAGTATTTTAATAATGATGTATAAATCTAATCGAATAAGTATATTTTATAAACAGGTTGGCATCAGCAGCAAAGACTGATTGTGAATTTTTCAGCATTACTCAATAAATCTCATACTGTTTACTTGAGAATCTTGAATCATATCAATTGACAACTTTAATGTTATCCGCGTCTGTGAGAATAGTAGAGTAGAATTAAAAGGCATATCGCATAATCATTCATACTGCATTAATATGAATCAAAATACTTTGCTTTGTAAATAATAGCATAAAACTATTCTCCATAATCAGAGATGTAAAAGATATTGTTCAAATTATTATATGATGATGTGATTGTCAGACTTTTAAATCCTGCAATTGCATCAATATCTTGAATCATCACTAAATAATTAGTGCAGTATTTTCTGTTACTCACTATTCATTAAGAAATTATATCATTGGTTTCGCTAGAGTAGACCGATGTGGTATGTTGCTCAAAGGTACTACGTAGCTATTAATATTTATTTTGATGATACAAGAAATTTGATCTTTCTGTATCAGTGAAATGTAAATTATTTTTCATCAATCATATACTAGCTTTTATATACTAAATTACTGGATGTTTTGAATAAAAATATAACAGACAGCAGTATTCCGCTCTATGTACAGAATCTTATTTGACTTTGTCTATAACTCGCACAATATCTTTTCTACATTGTGTTCGCCGCATTAAGTAAAATGGCAGTCAATGTCACGTTAAGCCTGAAAACCTTCTTCCATTTCATCGAGTTGCTCATGAATTATGAGATCGAACTAAAAAGTGTTCTGCTTTTTATTGAAGCGACTTTTCAGTATAATTAGATCTGTATAACCTATAAGAACGTATATGTGCAAAATGTTGAAGCTGAAATCTAGAGATCATATGCGCCATTGAATCTCGCCAAGTTGATATGAAACTTAAATACACCATTTTATTCGAAAAAAATGTCAGTTCCATGAAAAATATACTGATCCTATTGATGTTGCAACCAATCGAAAAATCATATATGGAAGTAAAGATCTGTTACATCAAATTCAAAACCTGAAATGCGATAGATGTGTGCTGGCTATAAACATATGATAATGAAGTAATCTATTTTGTATATTAATTTGAACTAATGCCCTATACCAACGGTTCAAAGAAAGTAGCATCAGATTGAACACTAGATTTATACAATTCAATATCGCGTGTTATATTCAAATGGAAACGCATTTTCATAGAACAATCATATCTAACAAGTAATACTGACGGATAATAGATTTACTTGATCCTGAACTGAAGAAATACAAATATTTTGATATAATTACATATAAAATAGTAATAGCTATGTAAAAGGTTAGCTAAATAAAATAAAATGATAATGACAAAAGAATCTAGCAGATATTTGTTTTCCATCTCAATATGTGTGTTACAGGCAGAGAGACAGACACAGATGAATTTCTGTTCTTATACCATATCATTTCAATACAATGAGATCGATAGTACATGCATCAATTTCTCTAAAATGTATTATATATGTTTATCTTAATTTACTACAAGTCGACAAATGTTAGCAAAAACAAACTAAAGAAGAAAAGCCTATTGTACTCTCAGTATTTGTACCGGCCATTATTACTTTTCCGTTTGTTAATGCAGATGCGATGTGATAGTATCACACACTGCTCATAATACAAAGAGACCTCCATGTTTCTGTTAATAAATCATACAATTTAGCACTATTCTGATTACTAATGAGTCCATCAGTCACTATATTACTCATTCATCAGCTGAGGCAAATGGTATGTGTCAATGTTGCTGATTATTCATATTGCTTGCTTTTGACCAGACTGAAAAAAATCTTGAACATATTCATTTCTAGCAGAGGCTTACAATTAAACTCCCAAGAATAAGATATTTATATTTGAATTCTCTTAGATTTGAAAAAAATTCGTTGTTCAAATATGACAGGAAAATATTCTATACGAGTCTATATCTTTATATTTTTAATAATAAAATCTTTTAAAACTTTTGCTAGTTAAATTTTTTTTTATTTTAATTTAAAAGGATCTTACAGAGACTCTATAATTTTAACTCAAAAATTTTGTTTACAATGCGTAAAAACAAGAAAATCTTTAAAAAAATATGATGTTAACGCTTGGCTGCGACTAGTTGATCCATTATGGATCGAGTTAAGGCTATTTCAGAAAATGATGAAAACTAATAGATATATCAATGGCTAACACTATTGATTATGAACCCGAATATCGGCTTCTTTTTCTGTATACACCATAATTTTATGTTCATACTATATGCATTTCTACCAAAACGAAAGCAAAACTGCTTGCCCTCAGATTCTCAAAAAATCTGACTGAATGTGTTCTCGTTAATTCAAAGGTTTGGTGGCATGTGTAGAATGTTTTTAATATAAAATTAATATTTCAATATCGAAGAAACTACTATCCCAGTAAGAGGCAAATGGAAAATGAGATTGGTATAAAAATGAAGCAACAAATAATTCTCTTTATTTGCATGTTGAAAATTAGTTGGCCTTTCAGGACAAATCGATTAATCATGATTGCTGACGTATGTTGGCGAAGCACTATCTAAAATGCCTGTTGAAATATATGGCTCGAATAATCCATAAAAGTTGATTTACTAATGATTGTGCCTAATGACGTTGAGATAATTTTGAAATGATTCTCATGTGAATCTCTGAAAGTAACAAATAACAAAGACTTTTTGTGTATATTTTCTATGTTCAACATTTTCTAGGATGATTTAAAATTCAACACATCTTTGAGACTTCGTTATTACAAGATCGAAATTATAGATAAGTAGAAAAGTGAATATAGTTACATTTAAATAGCACTTTATAATATTTTTGTATACTGAAATATACGACTTTTAAACAGATGTGCCTCTATGTTGGTTGGCTAGCAAATACTTTTCGATTGAATATGTGAATCATATCATTACCTTCTAAACATAATCTTATTATCACCCATGGTAAACACACTTCTTATGGTGAACAGCATTGTGGCGATTTTAGATAGATGAGATGTTCGTGTTGATGGTATTGCACTTTATTTAACTTCTTCATATCATAAATCGCACCTATTACATAACGCTTAAATATTCAACCATTTGAGAGAATGAAAGAGAATGAGAGATAAAGACACATCAAGTATAGAAAGATAAAGGCAATAGGTGAGATGAGAAGAAATGGCACCATAACGTCAAATATCATGCATAGGTTACACTCCCGGATGAAATTTGGAGCGCTCTCCACATATAACGTTACAAATATGACTTGACAATACACACAGAAGTATTCGATGTGCAGTTATTTGTAATATGGTTGTATGGTTCCAAAAGAGATCAGTCAATAGCAGATGCACAATAACTATAGTTACTCGTAGTTTGATAGTCAAAGCAGGGTGCTAGTGAAGAACAACAGCTAACATTATTAGTTATACTATAGACATAATTGGATATCTCTATAGTTTGACCTAAAAATTGTTCAGTTTGATTATATGATATGCGTGAGACTCAATAAATTGATAAACTTTCTATACATTTTAAAATCAAGCCATAGACGAAGAATATTATTATTAGATGCATGATGTGTGCTTATGAGAATAAGAAAAATATGAGTCGAATATGTAAATTCACTCCTTTTCTGCTTTTCCTTCATTCACTACTGAGTGTCTAATGTAAATGAAATAGTATTGAAATCTTGGGCCATAAATTTATAGAACGAGAATTACTCGAAGAGATTATATGTGAAAATTCTCTCTAAGTTTCCATCAAGCTATTTTAGACAGCGAACTTAATTTTATACTCATCTTTTATCGACATTTTATTGATAGGCTAGGAAACAACGATGAATTTTCTACATGGAGTTCGATTTCAATAATCGAGTAGTTAAATATTTGGAATTCAGATATTAATAAATTTATTAAAAACAAATAAATCTCCCGCTGAATATTGTAGAAAAATAAAAACACACAGTATGTGTTTCGATGATGAAGCTACAAAAATATGTATAAAAGTTAGTATACGAACATCTGTAAAATTTCTTCAATAGTTCGGTTCGACTCCTAGTCACTTTTAAAAAATTATTAGAACACTTGCTGTGCTTGGTGACTGAATGAGAACTCGATTTATTTTTAATCATAGAATATGCCATACTTTCCCGCCTTTCATGAAATTTTCAGTCTTCTGTTATTCAATGTTATTCTTTCGTTATTACGAAAGGATACACAAATGAAAAGAAAGAAAGAAAGAATGAATGAAAAAGAAATAACATGCTTACCATACACTTACTTTTTATTCTGTACACGTTTAAGAATGTCACGCTCGAATGAAGGCCCCAATCATATATATTTTGTGAAAGACAGAAAGTAGGCCCGTAACACACAAACTATGATTCAAACTAATTTTCACGAGGAATACGTATGGGATGGAAGGTTTTTGAAGTATGGAGTTTATCTATATCTAACTTAAATCTTCTTCAGTTCTATTGCTAACTATTTTTAGTATATTCTTTTAGCTATTATTTATTTAATTATGTGTTTTTTTTCGATGTATACATTCACTAGTGCAAAATCTGTTGAAATTGTTAAATGGTTGCTTAATAATCTAAAAGCATGTCTCGGTTGAACACAAAAAAATGACCAGTTTTAGAAATGATTTTTCCCTTAGTCAACACAGCGAATGTTTATTCATGAAGAACAATTAATATACGATTGATTTGTGTAGTCAGAATGAGATCCCCGTAAAAACATCAAAAAGTAGAGAGAATCAGATTTTACGTTTTAAGAATCGCCTTGTTTTAGATTTAAAATAATGAATCAGTCAATAACTAATCCCAGTTGTATCAACACTGGAGATACTACATGGGTATTAGTTTCATCAATTTCTGTATTATCTATGATGCCGGCACTTGCATTTTTTGAAGGTAAAATACTACTGACTAACCATCGATACATACTCTTGTTCTATCTTTTATCATTATTTCAGCTGGCTTATTGAAAATTACAAATACAGTTTCTCTAGTTACACAAATTATTGGTGGAGCATCTATCTTATCGGTCATGTGGCATTTGGTCGGTTTTACATTAGTTTTTGGACGGACATGGTTAGGAGTAATTGGAAACTTTGACCACATATTAATGCTAGGTGTACCATATGATGATTGTGCAAAACAGGCACCACATATACCGGCTGCTCTCTATGCATTTTTTCAAATGATGTTTGCAAGTATTACACCACTTCTAATGACAGGTGCATTTGTTGAACGACTCAAATTCAAAGCTTTCATAATATTGATTATTACTTGGGAAATTTTGATTTACTATCCTGTTGCTCATTGGATTTGGGGAGATGGCTGGTTAAAGACCTTTTTCGGAGTACAAGTATGTATATAATACACCTAAAAATATATAGTGACTGATGAGTATATAGGACTTTGCTGGAGGATTAGTGGTGCATACAACATCGGGTGTTTCAGCTGTGGTTTGTGCACTTGTGTTGGGACACAGACGAAATTTTGATCTGTACAATGGTGAATTTCCACCTTCGAATTTACCATTAGCTGCACTCGGAGGAGCACTTCTTTGGACAGCTTGGTTTGGATTCAATGGAGGAAGTGCCCTGACGAGTGGTTCATTAGCTATATCAACAGTTGTTGCCACTCAACGTGCTGCCATATGTAGTGGTATAGTATGGTTGATTATTTCTTGGATAAGACATAAACCATCAGCTGTTGCTGTACTGAATGGTGTCATTGCTGGACTGGCTGGCGTTACACCTGCATCTGGTTTTATTGATCCGCAATATGGAGCTCTGCTTGGTGTCATTCTCGGTTTGACATCTTATTTGAGTGTTATATTATTTAAACATATACTACGAATTGATGACGCTCTTGGTATGTTTCACACTTGTAATCAGTACTTGTCAAACATGTTTTTCTTCACATTTTTAGATGTTTCAAGTGTACATGGTGTCACAGGTATTGTTGGTTCAATTGCAATTGGTTTCTTTGGAGAGAAAGCATTCAATAAAAATGGTGCGGATGGTTTGTTCTTTGGAAATCATAGTGCTCGTCAACTCGGAGTTCAAATATTGGCTGTGATTATCACGGGTCTTTGGTCGGCATTGGTCACATTTCTTTTACTGAACATTATTGATCGTATTGTTGGATTGAAAGTTGAACCCGAAGAAGGATTGGACTTTGATGAGCAAGAACACGGCGAAAAAGCTTACATCTGGAGACATATTAGTGACGCTGATGCTTTGACAAAAGATGAAATACAAGCAATAATTCATGGTTCAATTAAAGACTATATCCGATCACAAGAAGGACTAGGCTCACTTAACTCTAGTAATGATATTCCATTGCAACCTCGTTCATATTCAACTATAAATGAGAAATAGATCAGTGAATACCGAATATCATCTAATTTATGCTATACAAGTTTTTCTTGTGCATTATTCACACAGATGCTACTTAATTTTAAGTGGCTACCAATCTTTTAAATAGAAATGTCTTTCACCAAAAAACGATTAGAAAAAATAACACTAAAAATTGTCACAATTGAACCCAAATTCAAAAGCTATGCGCATATCTTTATTTATATCGATTTGAAAATAACATCAAATCATATTTAGTCGAAAATCTCCTTAGTACGATTAATGGAAGAAAAAATCATAAATGCTATATCACATTGGCAAGAATTCCAAATGCAAAACCTTCCATATTATTTATGAATTGAAACATTACTAAAGTCATATTTTTATTCCTTTGCAATGCTGAGTTGTATCAAATCTGTGGAGAATTTTTTTTAGAGACGAGAATTTTTGAAGCTCATAGCTGTCGATAGTATATCAGTATCTACTCTCGTTTATTGATTGCAATCATTTTATATGCATGATTTAATATTCTTTTTCTGTGACCACCTACGTAACATTTTACTCTTCTTTCTTTTATCACTAAATGTTGTCCATTAACTAATGAAGTAATCGACCAGTAGATGACGCTTATACAATGCAAATTTTAGTCGTGCACTTAGTTAGATGGAGGATTGCGTCTTTTAATAAACCACTCGTTTTACCGGAATTCCTGCTAAAACTATCTATGAATAGATGCTGTCATCTAGAAAGTGATATTTAACTCTTACACGAAATATGTTTCATCGATATTTTCACAATAAAATTAGTGTTTAATTTCTAGAAAATGATTCTTCTTTATTTCTATAACCGAATCAATCAATCGACTAAGAAATTGTGTACTAGAAATTAAAATCCTGCATAACGCAAACATCCAATCTACATGTGTTGATTCCCTTGTACGCACATTTATACTTGAGATTAGTGTGAAAACTACGTCAAACTTTCACTAATTTCTCTATCATTTCTTAATTATTACTATCACGTTTTAGATGCGCCGTTGACATCAGCGAGATTACGAATAACTGTTTCATGCGCTATCGAGAAACCTGATTTGTTTTCTGCGAGAGAAATTCATACTTCATAATTATGAACGTAGTCCATCAGAAACGGTTATCGTCAGAAAATTCTCTCAGTTTTATAAATAGTTAGAAAATGACATTTCAGATATTCAGTCTGTAACAGTTAAGAAACAAAGAAACAATAAGATAATAAAACATTTTATTATCTTATTGTTTTTTTTTTATGTAACTATATTTTATATTGACTGACGAAGTCAACCGTATCTGACGACACATCTCAATACTAAAAGATGATATATTCGGTATTCTTTTCTTTATTATTTCATTTTATGTGTGTTTGCTTTTAACACTTGGTAAATATGACGATATTAATGGTAAGTAGGACCATGTGCGTAAGTATCTGTGCCAAGTTTTGATCGTTTGAATTAATATAATCAAATTCTGGTCAAACGAATCTTTTCATGTTGACCAACAATATTGGACTATGAACGGTGAAGCATGGAGCAACAAGGATTCAGTAATTATTTCTATTTTGTGAAACACGATCTGAAAGGAGTGTTGAAGTATATAGGGTAGAAATTTGGACCCCCTTCCCCCCCCCCAGAGACCGTTACAGAGAAATTAATTAATCAGTTAATTGGTTAATTAATTAATTATTAAATTTCTCTTTAACGGTCTGTGATGGTTTCTAGAGATTTCATACATCATAATACAGACCGTAACAGAGAAGCTCCACAAACCACCAGTGACTATGATAGTCGAATTCCAGAAAAGAAGTTTCATCGTGTTTCACATTTTAATCCCACAGGGATTGCGCTAACAGCTTTTCTAATTCATCTACATGATAGATTCGTATCAGTGAGGATTCTCAATTTATACAAAACGACGCATTATCTTGACAAATGGCTTGTGTCAAAATTGTAAGACTTCTACCAACCGAAACCTTCGCCATGTTGATCAGAATCAGACAATTTCAATTCAGGAAATGAGTTATCATTTATACACAGTACTTGATATCGTGTCATCAGAACAACATGATAATTTAGAAAGAGGAAAAATAAAATAAACAGCGTAGAACGGAGAGAAATTACACTACATTATCAACGCATGCATCAGCAATCACTTCCTACTTTATCATAAAGTCATACTCGACTGAGTCAGGTAAACATGAGTTACTCGCAAAAGAATGAGTAATTTCGCCAAAGATAAATATGCGATAGAATCGACTGATAGCATACAAAAAGAAGTTTGTACACGACAAAATCGCATACTCCGTAAGTAGACATAATTTTTAAAATTAGTAGGCTAGAGTAAAAATTGAAATCGTAAATCACAATTAACTGTAGAAAATAATATACCCAGGGTACAGAAAGTCAGCTCAGTTGATACTAGTGAAACGCCGAATTGAATAACACAGTTGGCTCGAATAGGATCTACTGAATAGATTATGATCTATTTGCACAGCTCTTTTTAATGATATACGGAGAAGTGTTTCATTCATTTACTGTTGAGATAACTTCCGTGGCTACTTGAGGCATTGCAGAATAGACTATGCTATTTCATGCCTCTGTCAAGTTTATCATTGAAAAAATTAACTTTCTCTGATTGTTATTGTAATGAGAAAATACTATAGGAAGAAATACACGATAAATACGATTAGTGTGCAAAAATGTTCTTACAATTCTATTCGGCTTGATCTTTTATGAGGAACAAGTTTCAATAAAATACAGATGATCTTTTAACTTTTGCTTTTGCAATCGAAGAGATCAAACTACGGAAGTTCGATATTCGCTAGCTTTACGTCTTCTTATTTGAAGTATGAAAGCTGTGAATGAGTAAAATATTCAAACTTATTTTTGAATGACTATCATTTGCCCCAAATTGAAATCCCCAAATCGTTCCCCAAAAAAAATCCCCAATTGGGGATGATAAAATAATTCTGGTAACCAAATGGGGATTTTAAATTGGGGATTGTTTTTTTGGGGATTNTCCCCAAAAAAACAATCCCCAATTTAAAATCCCCATTTGGTTACCAGAATTATTTTATCATCCCCAATTGGGGATTTTTTTTGGGGAACGATTTGGGGATTTCAATTTGGGGCAAATGATAACCTACCTTATTTTTTTCGAGTGTCCTACATGTTGACATTACTCCTGAGAATATGCCAGAGTTTTTCTTAAACTTCTCATTCGCTAGTACATCAATACATAAATGTTATTTTCCGTTTTTTTCACTGATGCATATCATGCAGTCAGGTCAAACTACCTTATTTTAACTTTATCATATAAAGATCTCATAACATCCTCATTTACACGACAAGTTTAAGTCTCAATCTTGTTGTGGCGAATCAGGAATCTTCAGTAATAAAGTGCTTTTAACGAAGATTCTGTTTCTAGGAGTCTATGTGTAACTTGTTTGAAATCGATTATATACTGCTTTACAATGATATTCTGTGAAAGTTTCGTTATTTCACTTATAAGAACGTCTATTTCAGCAGTAACATTTTCAACTGATTTACTCTATTATGTTTTAAAATGTTTTTGACTAGGATCTAGACGGTATATGTCTTCCACAACCGCCTGGTCGTCTTCTAATACTTCCTACTACGGGTTTTCTGAGCTGTATGCGAAGCTAAATGATTCTTCATAAACGGTGCTGGGAATCAAGATCACATCGGTTACCATTTAGGCATGATTCAGCTCTTTTTTTGTAAATCTAAGCAGAAGATTTTTCACGAAATCACCGATGTGTCTAGCAATAATTCTGATTAAGAAAGATAGAATCCGGAAAACGATTCAAACTACCAGCATATAATTTTAACCAACTAAAACTGTGCAAACTTGAGATGTAGACATTTGAAAATTTTACTCATAATCAAAAAGTTATGCTGGTAATAAAAGCCTGAACATAGATTTGGCAAGAGCACAGACACTTCGGATCGAATTCATTCTTTTGAAGTTCTTGCTATCTTTCATGATCGATTGAAAAATGAATGTGCAGATGTTCCAAAAACTGCCTCACTAGAAATCACGCGAAAACAAGTTAAAAGAACTTTTAAATTCTGGTGCTTGTTGAACTTATATGCATGACATCGAAGTTTTTGGGAAATATTAATATTTTAGAATGAACTCGAATATACCAGGCCTTCACTCTTTGTCAATTGTTTTCAGATTTTATTGTTACCTTATGTTGTTGCAGATAAAATTGCAATAGAAACGGAAAAGTTTTGAAAATGGCTGCTAACTTTCCAAAACAAAATCGTAGCACTCATATCTTATCTGCTAGTCGTGAGATTTGTCGAACCATTAAACAAAGTGATGCTGAAATGAGACAAAAATATCCTTTTTTATACCATCAAGATGTTATCTGTGCAATAATATTCGCGGGTTCACTGTTGCTAATAACCTTATTTTCTTATCTATATATCTCAAGTTTTATTTCAGCAATATGGACTGTTATGTTAATAGCATTAGTATTATCTTTGTTACACGAGTTAGAACATGACATTATTCATAATTTATATTTTAAGTCACATAGATGGATTCAAAACTGCATGTTTATAGTCATTTGGGTTGCTAAATTACATGTTTCACCTTGGTATCGTCGTCAGTTACATTTGAAACATCACCTTTTATCTGGCCAAATAAACGATGCCGAAGAAAGATTGATTGGATTAGGCTTATCACCAAATTACAAAAGAATGGCCGTTAGTGTACATCCTTTCGGTGGACTTTTGATCAGCGATGACATTAGTAAAGATGCAAGATATCTAAATCTATTTACTCTACAACTTCACAATGCTCTGATGGGACTTACATCTTTCTTTATTCTTCAAACTTTCGTCGGCTACAATGTCTTTTGCTTTTTTTATTCCTGCTTAGATTATGATATCAATACGCTAATTGGCTTTCATACATGTTATCCTATTATTCGCACATTAGCAGTTTGCTTATGCTTTCCAAATGTCCTCAGACAAGGTTGCTTAGTAATGATGTCTAATTCCTCTCACTATTATGGTGATATACCTTTGAATACTGTATATTATCAAAATCAAATATTAGACTCTTGGTTTTTATTTCCTTTTCAATTATTTTGTTTTAATTTTGGCGCAACACACATTGTGCATCATTATGTACCTTCACAACCCTTCTACATTCGACATTTTACGGCGAAATCAGTGAAGCATACCATGGTGAAGTTGGGTGTGCGTAATAATGATTTTGGTATATTGTGGAGAAATAATCATTATACAATTGACACAAGAGAGGATGAGAAACAAAGATTGTATGGCAAATGTTGGTTTGCTGCATGTCTATTCTTAGGATTTCCTTTATACATTTTGTGGGATTTAATGATCTTCGAAAAATTCAATAGAAATGTAATTCAATTTATTAGAGAACAATTATTAAAGCGAAATATTAAAAGACGTGATACTACTACTAATAATAGTGAGCTAAAAACAAATGAAAAAGTGATGGACGCAAATGGCTCAACAATGAATGATGATATGCAAAAATTAAATGCATTCGTTAATCAAATTGCACTATACGATGTGTCAGCAGATCAAATTGAAGAAGTTAATACTAAAGCTGCTTAAGTTTAACGAAAATCGTTGAGTTAAACCAATAGCGTTACTTTTTTAAATTTTATTTCTCTTTGTCTAACTTTTAAGCAATAAAGACTTCACTAACTAGATTCAAAATGCTTTTAACGTTTAATACAACTTCTGCTATTTTTTCTACTTCAATACTCTTATATAGTCATAGTTTGTGAGCGACGATAGGTTTTAATACAAGAAAATACATGTTTTTCTCATTTTGTGTTCAAAACGCAGTCAAATTTAGCATATCATTCTTTACGATATGAATCACTTGTTTCGACATATTCTCCTAGGATCCATATTACGCATTGCGAAGACCTAGTTAACATCGACCCATGCAAATATTTTTTGACTCAAAATACGTCTGAATGAGGTTTTATTTACTTGTAAATAGTAGCTATTGAAGATGTCTGGACACGGCCAGCTTTATATTTTAAATTTGAGGAGTCTTAATAAACCACGTCTGAAATTTAATCTAGGTCGTCACGTAATTTCAGACTAACAAAATGTTCGAATATTGTTATGCCTTAAATGGCATCAGCACAGTTGCGAAAACAATTCAGAGACAATTACACATCAATATAAGATTTTAATTTACATATAATATTTCAATTAATGATGTATATATATATATATATATACCAGTTTGAGAAAATATTCACATTAAATAAACTCTAAATATATTATCTATTCTTTTTGATTTCTACAGACTTTTGTCTTGAAAAAAAGTATAATTTTTGATATTTGCCCTACAGTTAAATAATTTCTGAATCATGCTTGTTAACTTCAAAAAAGCTGTTAGCGGAATCCCTGTGGGATTAAAAAATCATGGTTTCATTAGATTAAAAATTATGAAAAACGAAAATTTTAGTTTGAAAAAGAGGTAGTATTTCGTACAAGCAGAAAGTCAAGCATATAAGCATTCTTTTATTTGACCTGTTTTACTAAAGAAAATTTGCCTCTAAACGTTGCTTCGCACAAATACTGCGTTTCCTGATTGCAAACATCAATGAGATGTAGTTACATTTCAATCGAATTTCATCTTTTCAGCACTAATAGATATTTTCGTGTCTTGTTGTCACTTGCATGATACTTATTTATTTATTTATTTATAGCAACATTTAACACAATAAAGACCTTCACATTTAAAACATTTACATAGCTCACAATCAAGTTTACCACACTCATCACAATTCTGAAAAGAATTACAATGATGCTGACAATTGTGAACACTACTAGCAAAAACGTGACAGTAATCATTTTTATGATTACCTGTACAGCGATTGGTGCAGCCTTTATATGGACATTTAAAGTGTTTGCGAATTGCGATATTGTGGTCCTTCAATAATCCAGAATAAAGATCTAAATAGATATAATTTAATACTCAGTATGCTAAAAAGAAGCGAAATTCATTATAGACTAAGGAAAAATCAATTTTGCAACTCTCAGTAATATAATACTCTAATGACAAATAGGATATCATGGAGAGTTGTAAAAAATCACCGTGAAAACTTACCATAAGCAGTTTTTTCAACAATTCTCTGATTTTCAGAAAAATTTCAACTTATTCATGTTTTTAATCAAAGGCGCAGAAATCATTAACACTAAATGGTATTAGTACTCACCAATCTCGCTCACTCCATGGAAAGTCCATAAATAATATGCGTTGGCCACAACAGATTTTAATGCTTCCAATTTTATGCCTGGCCACACCATTACTTCTTGAAAATCATTAGCTGTATAGCCAGTCACTATTCTTCCATTTACAGATTGATATCCAACAAGCATTATCTTTTTAGTCGTAGTCTTTTTAAGATACGCTATAACATTATTCATCAACAACGAGCATAAACACAGTGAAGTATAGAGTGATGCCGATTTCGAATCCAGCTGTTCTTTAAACCTTTCATCCAATGGTGTCCCTTGCCAAACTTCTGTATTTGCAATAGGTAGTTTATCGAGTGCAATTTTCAATAATTTGAGATATTTAAACCATGGTTGGAGTGTAGATCGATCATTAGAGTTTAATGCTGTCTGAATATGATCATGAAGACACCTATTGCCCCACTGCATTGTATATATATAAATAGCAGAAGATTCATCAAGAGTAAGATTATGTTCAGATGGATAATGACATTTCATTTTCGCTTCTTTAATATTATACGATAATTGATTAATTTTACCTTCGAGCGGAGAAAGAGTTTCTTCGAGCGATAATAGTGGTTCACCAAAGTAACCATCCATGGGTATGAGAGGGTCATTGGTTTTTATACCAATCTGAATGAATTGAGGTGGCAAGTGATTTGAAGATAATATACGCTGACGTTTTGTATAACAACAACAAGTTGTGCCCATCTTAATTTTAGAGAATCGCAACAATATCGCTGTGGTTTATTTTTTAGGAAACGTAGCGAAGTAAATATATTTCAAGAACAGAAATTCTACTTTTCTTCATAATTACTACCAATCATCGAGAACGATCCCAATCATTATTGAATCGTCGTACATAGCGTGCATCGTAAATGAGAAAATCTTAATGATATATCGTGTTTTCAGGAAGCATAGCAGCCATTGTTTATCGTGAGCTCATACACAGTTTTCTTATTTTCTTTTCCTACGGAGAAGAAGTAATGCTATGAAGAATTTAAAAAATCGACAAATTTGAAAACAACTTCATACATCTTAAACGTTATCAAATTAGTTTGAGAAAACTATTTTTTCTCTTAATATTTTTGACATGAATCGTGCATAATAAAAGTTAGTTTATCGGGAAAGAATGCCAAAGTATTATGGAAACAGATTTTTTTCTGTCTTTTCAAATGCATAGGATTTTTGTTTACCGATGCGTCTTCACTTCCTGCTTATGAATCTGATTTTAATAGTTTGTGAACACGATAACTCGTCTACTATCTTTTAATTTGACTTTTGCAGCCAAATTTGAAAGTAAGAGCTTGATCAAATTCATACTATTGCCGTGTAGCCAACGCTACAATTGTGTATTCATACTGATTTGATTTCAAATGAAGAATAAAATAAAAGGCAACAAAACGATTGAGAAATGTAACAATATATAAAAGCTACGGAAAATGAGAGAATTGATTACAGTTTGTTTTGTTTTCGAATAAAGCACCACGAATATACAATTGAAACGAACATCGGATAGATTAAAGATAATAGCAATAATAATGATGTTTCAGTACGTACATTAACAGAAAAGACAATCTCTAACGCTAGTATCCTTATCAATTCAACTAGCTGTATTAACTTTAAGTGTGATATTTAGCTAATGCTAGCAAGATCTTCACGCATATATTTACTCTCGAAGACTGTCCTCATTTTTTCATATAATAAACAACATAGGCTTACTAAAATAATTCAAAATAGTTCATCTGAAAATCTACTTTGATTTTCACAACCTATAATTAGATCATTGCGTATTTGCTTATGTCTGTAATGGAATATTAATTGTTAGCTCGTATATTTAACGATGGCAGTGACTAATTTCCCTGGTCTGTAATGGGCAAGCATTGCTTTTTTCGTGTACTCTGTAATTAAAGAAGGAAGAAATAGGAGCCTAATTAGCCAAGGTCCTAATTAGCGCAATTTTAAACTCATTAATGTCTGTAATAGGGAGGGGGCGGCGAGCCACAAGAATCCTTCTTTTATCTGAAAAGTCAAGAAAATTTTTTTGATGATTTTAAACTTAAGTGCTTAACACGTAGATTTTTACGGTATCCGAGTGAGCCCATCGTTCAATTTTTTTCTGCAAAGAATTTATCTTTGAGTGGTATATCACTCTATGATGCATCGCTAGAACACTAGCGATTAGAAAAAGGAAGAAACGAAAAACAAGGTCGTGATTCTCATATAACCCATAAAAAACATCGAAGGATTAAAATATAGACTAGTAAAAGCTTAAGAACATCAAAAACTAGTCGATATTTGTTGTTAGACGTTGCTTAAGAGGGACAAGTTGATTGGATGATCTTCAGAATCCAGATGTATATCACCATCATTCTAAAATGTCACGTCGTTCTATCAGTACAATGTGCATAAAATCTCTAGTGTAACTATTTCCGTAGGTTTACAAATTATTTCGATGGATAAGAAGGTAGCTGATTCAAAGTAGTAATAATGTGTGTGAAACACGTCGGATCTATTTTCTCTCCTACCAAGCAAGCTGAAAAAATATACCATTTCTTCATTCATCGTAACCAATCATCCATTACAACGTTATCTAACCGTCCGACACACTTACCAAGATTTTATATAAGTTTAAAATCAAAATCAGGTCGTGAACAACGTTTCATTAATTTTCTTAAATTAGAACTAAAAGGTTTGAACCATTCACACTGCTTTCGTTAGTAGTACTACTTCTCTTCCTGATCACAGCTGCTGCCGCAATTTTCTGATAGAAACTGGAAGTATCAGATACATAGCTAGCTGAAGATTGCTCGTTTAGCCAGAGACCTTCTGGCTTTAGTGTTCATTTTTGTCTCACGATGACAAGCGGAAATAAAATAGTCTATTCGTCAGACTTGAATCGCATATATATCGATATCTGGATGAATTTTTTAATTGTCGGGGGTTATTAAAGTGTACCTTAGTCCTTTCAACTACAAAACTGAATATTTCGAATGTTGTAGTAACGTAATATATGTTGTGTAAGCACGCCTAAGAATCTAATCATATTATCATGGAAAGATTTCAGAAACCAAGTGGTACTGTCTAGATCGTTCTTTTCATCACTATAATAGAAAAATTATATTTGAACGCTCGAAGGGCGAAACTACTGATTGAACTCAGTTGAAACGTAACATAAATCATTTTAAACGAGAAGTTTGCTTTTGAACAAGAATTATTTTATTCTCAAGATATAACCGAAATTGATATTCTTATTCAATTTTTATTTAAGATTTTGCTAGTTTATTCAGCTAGAGTAAAAGATAGCATACATACTATTATACAGCTGGTAAACATTCTTTTTGTATGTTAGAACATAGGGTATATTTTTTACTATTAAATTACGTTAGAAAAAAAATGTGATTTTATTAAAGGTGACAGATTCTGCGGATAGTTTTTCGTTTGCACTCGTCCAGATTGAAATGAAACAGAGAGAAAGACAATGCAGATATACCCTACATCTTATTGAAATAAAATGATTGGCAATATTTTCATTGTTTTTTAGATCGATTATTTTCATCTAGAAACGGTCGAAACCAGAAAAAAAGAAGTAACGTCGAATTTTTGCTGCATTAAAAAAATTACAGACGATTGTCGATTTCTATTGGTTTATATAAAATAATTAAATATTTTGATGATTTTAACAAGTCTCACAATAGTACTAACTCTTTACTGGGCGGATAAAGCTGCAAAGCAAGAAATAGCACGAATGTTTCATTATTTCAACTAGGCTCTTTTTAAAATTTTTCAAGTCACTACACTTGTGTTATATTAAATCTGATATCTTAATTTTCACTTCCACCTATTGATAAGAAACCAAGGATGAAACAACTGATTTAAATCATCCCTAAATCAGTCAAAAGTTTTCATAAACCATTTGATTTTTTGTGAGTTTCGGGGAGTTCAAGTGGCTATTTCTGATTCTTTGGTACTTTGAATCATTTCTACTTATGGCCGGTGACTTTTCATTTTGTCAAACTCACCCTAGCTCTCGCAAATGCATAAATCGCTGTTTCTCCCTGTTAGAAATTGTTTCGAATCCAGTTCATAAATTTTGTTTTAGACGTTTTTGACATTATAGATGACGAGGACTCGATGCCATTGTTAATCAATTTCAATTATAATCAGCATCAACTTTTCCTTCGGGTGAGCATTTTTTCAAGTTTCTTGCCGCTTTTTATCATCAATAAAAGGAATTAAGTTGCGCTTCACTGTTTCCAGTTTAAATAAACAGTTGGGAACTGTGTTGCCAAAAAGTTCTTTTCCTTCCTCGTTGAAAAGATAGTTGTATTGGTTACAAATTCAAAGGAATTATAATCAAAACATCTCAATCTAGGAAGAAGCCTCTTCTCAACCATTCCCGTTGCTGTTGGCTATAATATAAATTTTATTTGTTTGTCAGATCGAATTACGCTGTTACACTATTCACTATGCTAATAATTATATACTTCCAGTGATTATATTTGGTTAGAAGTAATATAGAAGGAGAAATATTACACCATATCTATCATTTGTTCTATTTTAACTCAATTTTTCAGGGATCAGATAATCAATGATCTCTGTGAAGTATAGAAAACGGGCTGACTACAGTAGATACAAATTCTGTTGACTTCAATTATTTTGTTATAGAAAACATGAAAATAGTAATAAAAATCCTATATTTTATAAACGTGAGAGAATGATTTACATTGTTTTAAGTCACAAAAACTCGTAGTTTCTCTCTTGTTTAGTATTGATTTTTTCGTATCCATTACAGTTATCTTAATAAATCTTCGTCAACAACGACGATTATGATATAATTTCTTGTGAATATGTCAACCTACTTAACTTACTATGCTAATCCCAATGCGTTCTGATTTAATTTTTCATATAAAAATAATAGAATGATAACATTAGCAGCTGGAAGTGTCACTTTTTTCCGATGTTAAATAAGACCTCAAATCAGAAAATTTGAAGCACAGAATACTAAAATCAAATCATATCATAATGAAGAACACGTAAAATGAAGAAATAGTGTGTAAAATAAAAATATATGATTAATCAATAAATCGAGTTAAGTGTAAGAGGAAAAAATTCTAAATTTTTTTGTTAATTGCTCTATATGAATTGAAAATTTTGAAGATTTACTTCTGGATTTGGGGAAAATTTTAAAAATTAAACATTTAATCTAGTAGTTATAAAAATAGTTGAAGTCAAAATTCAATAGATCATAAGCGCGGAGAAATACTATTTTTATATCTAAGAACAAACGGTGTTCGTTTCAAAAATAAAAGCAAAATTTTAAATAATACGCTATAATTCATACGTATTTTTAACAAACGAATGTCTTCGGTCATGTATAAGCAATGATTGCAATCTAGATCAGTAGATAAATTTGATTTTAAGACAGTGATCTATAAATGTATGATAAAGTATGGAAGAAAATTTTCAAAATTGTCCCTATTGATTTATATTTGCAATTACTTGGGCGATATTAGCACACCAAAGTTATTCTTCAGTTCATAAAAAAGAGCATTACTTATTTCATAATAATATTGACTCTAATTTAAGAAGTAAGGGAGATTCTATTAAGAATTTTCAGAATTGCTTCTTTTGTAGCTCTCTAAAACTAATTCTTTGATATCAAACAGTCGGAAAACGCTATTCAATTTGATATTTTAGATACTACATGCTAACAAATTTTTGGGGAATCCTCCGTTTATTAATTACTTTTGCTTGAATTAAAACTAAAATACAATGTATTGTATGTTTCGTAATTTACGGTAGGAGTTGCGCGTTGCAGCATATTTGTACACAACATATGGTACATGTTCCAAGAACATGACTCGAATTTTGTAGTCACCGAAGTAAACGGCGAAGTTTTTCTCAAGTTAATTCAGATAGGTGATAACTGCAGTAGTCTTTAAGCTCAAAACGGTCAGATCTTTCAGTCTAAATGTCTCGAATTGGTCTGATCATGGCAAATAACTAATGAATTCATAATCTGGAACACAATAGATATGTTTAATATGTGAGAATGAGTTAGTTGCTTATAGATTTATATGCAAAACAAATTGCTAAACGGATAATCAGCAGATAGATCAAGATATATCCCAATGACGAATTCTACACGTAGTGAAATATGCGACATTGTAAACTTTCACGATTCAAATCACAAACTTTTTGTTTCTGGGAGTAGCATAAGATCTATTACTACTTTTACTTGATGTATTTGTAGTCGCACTTGTAGTTGTCCTGGTTTCTGTTGTGGCTTATGGAAACGTTTTGTTGTAACTGTTAGTTATTAGATGCTTATGTGATTTTGAATGTTTCGTTCAGCTTTTAATTCGTAATCGACAACTATTCGATTTTGAAGAACTAATATGTCTTACAAGTCACATACTAAACTCCTGACTCACTCTTATTTGTGATATTTTCTCGTTCTTTATTTTTCACGTTTAACATTTTCTCTGTCCACATAATCTCTTTTGTTATTATTCCCTTTTAACATTTTCTCTGTCCACATAATCTCTTTTGTTATTATTCCCTTTTAACATTTTCTCCTTCGGCATAATCTTGTTTGACATTATTCTTCAATAGCAGTATTGCATTCTCTAATCCTTAACTTTGAAGCAAGTAATATATTGTTTAGTACAAATTAGACTTATTCGTAAAATATACAACACATTAAAATCGATTGTACCATGAATGATGATCAGTGTATCAGTATCGTTGGTTGTGGAAACATGGGTCTCGCACTGGCTCACCGTTTATTTTTGAGTGGATTCACCGTAGTACTGGGCAGTCGTTCTCCGGACAAGCAAATAGATACAAAATTTGAAATAGTCTCCACTGCCGAATGTATTCGCCGGTCACCTATTATTTTCGTAGCCATTCGCCCGGAAAACTATATAGATTCTCTTGTATCATGCCTTGAACATGAGTCATCATTATTTAATGGAAAAATTCTTATTGATCTATCAAATCAAAGTTCGGAAACTATGCATCAAAATGAATATTCCAATGCGGAACTACTCCAAGAGGCAATACCTAATGCTTTCGTTGTCAAAGCATTCAATACAATATCATCGTTTGCCATGCAGAGTATTACAGCAGGTGAACCACACAATATCTTCGTTGCTAGTGATCATTCAATCGCGAAAGATAGAGTAATTGCACTTGCACGTGAGATGAATTTCGAATCGTTTAATGCGGGTTCAATTCGAGCTGCACGTCGTTTAGAAAGTGACACGAAATCTCTGTTTCCTCAATGGCATGTTCCTGTCCTTTTCGCAAGTATCATTTTATTTTTTTGGCTCACTTATATACTCTGCATGTATTTTATCAAATATGCGGGAACTTCGTGGAACCAAATTTTTTTAAATATGATTAATAAAGCATTAGGCCCAAGTGTAATCACTATGTTAGCCGTTGTATACATGCCTTCAAACCTTGCATGCATACTTCAATTGGTCTATGGGACTCGAGAACGACGATTTCCTGTATGGTTGGATCGATGGATGTTAAGTAGGAAACAGCTCGGTCTATTGACATTTGCTTTAGCTCTTTGTCACGCCATTTTCACGATTACTCTTATGTCACCTACTTACTATTCTTCATGGTTTCATTCGACTGAGTTCATAGTGTCAGCTAATAACAATCAGACACGAATCGTATCGCAGGGTAGCTTTATGACTGGAACAGGTGAGTTAGCAGCTCTATTGGGTATTCTAACGCTACTTTGTATGTCCATTCTTGCTCTAACGAGTATTCCTGCGATTGGTAATCTATTAAATTGGCGAGAATGGCAGTTTGTACAATCGAAACTTGGTACTGTGACATTATTGCTTGCTATTGGACATGTGGTTGCAGTCGGTGTGCCATTCTGGATGGCAGGGACTCTAGTCTCAGCACTCTATGGGCTCTCTTTGATATGTTTATACTTTCCGGTCTTGACTATCTTGTTAAAATTTATGTTTTGGTTACCTTGTTTCAGCCGTCCACTCTATCGAATTCGTCGTGGAGAAGTTACAAAAGGGCTTGTTCAATCAAATCAGACTTCAAAACTATGATTTTACATTTCTTGAAGAAAGTTCACATTGTTTATAAACAAAAAATAAATTGTAGATTGTGACGGTACGAGTATCGAGGGGTCTGAACAATGTAAGAAATGTTTTCCAAAAACTACATGAATCCACGTAGTTTTATACGCTGATTCTAAATATATATATTATTTTATTATCAGGACAGCCTTTGATGATAAAAGCACGCATAAATGATAGCAATTTTAACACATTTATATCGATTTTCGACAGCATCGAGAAAAGTTCAATTTGTTCAACGATAAAGCATGAACCGAGAGAAGTACTGTCAGGATCGCCATATATTATAATAGTTGGACGATCCTTCGTCTCTCTTGTCTTTCTTCTATTGGTCTTTTATGTACATATATGTTTTTGTTTTTTCTTCCTTTTTTTCTTCGAGTTGTTGTTTATCCTCAATAAAAGGTGGTCGAACGACTGTAGCTCGAAGAGAGCCTAACCCGACTTCCTTCTTTTCATCGTCTCGATTGTAACGGATCCTAACAAGTACATATCAGATTTTCAAGCTACGTGTTCAGAGATTCTAAGTAAAGCAAAAATCTTACTTCTAGGTTTCTGACTTAATGATTAAATAGACTTACCAGAAATTATTCCAAAACATTCTTCAAATTATTGATATGCTGTAGGTATTTTTTTTTATAGCTTAGATGACTTTGTAATTCATCTAGTGATATTCTTGTGATCAACTTTTCGTGCTGATTACGAATCTGAAATCAAATTTTGAATTTGGACAATCATACAGAATATACTCGGCTGATTTTACAACTCATTGAACACAGAAAACTGTCCAATGTCAACATTTGTGGTGTAGAGTAGCTATTTTCGCTCAACTTTTATCTGAATAAGCAATACCATAGGAGATGCAGAAATTCAAGGGCTTTCAGAAAATATGCAAACTAAATTGGGATGACATGATCTAGCGGGGGTATTATCAAAATACTGAAAAATCCTTATTTTAACCAATCGAAATTTTTGTCTATATATTGGTAATATCTACTGATATGTGGTATTGGATAAATACATTAATCAGTAGGTGTTGTAGAGAAAATATTTCTCTATCTTTTGAGATGTTTCAGAAGTCAAACAAATGAGCAGAAGCTGAGAAAAATATAAAATACTAAGGGCATCCTAAAAACTTCACTTTTTGACCAAATATAAATGGTGTGTAACTTGCAAACGTTGGCATTTTTCTCCGGCACATCAGAAATATCTAATATTTCGGATTCACCTATGGTTTGACTAGACCTTCTATTTTAGATTGTTAAATCGAAAATCAAAATTTTACCGGCGGCCGACTCCTAGCAAAGTTGCTAAGTGGTTCTGCGGACCCTCTCTTAAGTACTTCAACGATTCCGATTTGTTATGAATACTGTTTATTGGAAATATTTTGCTCAATGTGGAATATGATTCGCAGTGAAACAATTAATGATATAAGCAATGAAGTTTGGGCAAGTGTTTTTACTTTAATACTCGCGTTTTAAAATGAAATTTGAAAAGTATTTTACAAAATATTTTCGCTTTTCGACGCCCGAAAAGGTTTCACACGAAAGCCTTCATAATACTAAACTCTTTTAACGTTTCGTTTGGGCGAACAAAACATTTTAAAGCATGGTAAAATATCGCCGAACCTTTCTTATTCAATGCAAGCAATTTTTGTTCAAAGAAGCCAATGTTAATAAAAGAATACATGACACTCTTAATGCGTTTCGATTAATCAGAAAATAGTGTCTTTCGTCGTGGATAAAAAGAAAGCAGAATAATAGTATTTTATCAAATGCTATTGTCATTTAATGCTATTATCGCCGACAGTGTCTGTCCTTTTTATTGTTTTCGTTCTTCAATGAGAGAGTTCGCGAATTTAGGACGACGCCGTTTCGGCTGGTCCTTGGAAAAAAAGATCCGAGTTCTCAGATGCCGGAAACGGAGGAAACCGACTGGACTCCGATAACCGAATCCTATAGGCTCCGACAATCGGGTTGCGTCGGAAGTTACGGGTATTAACTGAGATGCGATTGGATTCCAACCATCGGAATTCATCGGATTGAAACGCATCTGATAGAATCCGATTGCCGACTTTTGACTTGGGAAGAAGAATTTAAATTAAAAATAATTAGCTGTAAGAAATTGAAACAACTAATTCTGTGACATTTATAATAATTCTTCTTTAAAAATTGAATCGAGATCAACTTGAACTACTTTAAAACGGTAAAAATTATATAGAAATAAAAATATAATGTATATAATATAATTTATAAGCTAAAATAAAGAATCATATCTGTCAAGATATAGGAAATTAATTTAAATCAATTACATCTATTATATTTATTTTACAAGAAATTAAAGTTACATTATAAGGCGATAGTGAATGACTGCATCAATTACGATATGATCTTTTAAACAAAATAGTTTGGTTATCAGACAAAAATTAAAACCAATTTTATTTAAAATGTGGTAGCAGATCGCAACGCGTATTGTAGTCGAATTGATTGAAATGCAAATTTTTCCCTAAATATAAAAGAAAAAGAAAATGTTTTTTTCTTGTTGTTCTTGTGTTTTATGCAGCGTTTTCAAAGTACCACATCAATTAATTTTTTTATTGTGTGCTTGAAATATAATGTAATACAGAACCCTGATGAGTGTTTAATATTTCATTAAAGAACATGAAACGTGTTCGCCAATTAAAATCTGCATTTCTCAAAATTACTCTTTTGGTACACATCACAATAAGTTATTATCTGATTGTCAATCTGAATCTCGACAAAATAATCCATTGTTAAAAATCAAAGGTGGAGTACAAACAGATTGTATTTGTCTTTTTTTCAAGGTGGATAGGTCAGTCTATCTTTCGATTCACATATACAACCACACTTCACAGCCACTCTCATCAAGAATTGTCAATGAGTGCTTTATTTAAACATTTATTTTTCCCTCTGATGAAAAGGACAAATCAATAAAAAGCCAAAACAATGAACTCAGCAGTGTTTTGTTTGAATGGTGCCGTTGGGGCAATAGCAAGCATAGGGTGGATTTGTCATTGGATTGGAAAAACAGTAGCCTGGTGAACAATTGATGCTGCAGGACGCTATGAATGAAAATCGAACGAGATAGAGAGAGAGAGAGTTACAGAATGGAAAACGATTTGAATTATCCATTACCTGGCCGACTATCTACCTCACATATTGTTCCAGTGAAGCCTGGGCGACATTGACATCTATAACCAGCACCAGCTATACTGCATTCAGCAGAATTTCTGCACGGATTCGGATTGCACTGTCCTAAAACACAAAAAGATCCTGGAATCTATAACAATATTACAAAAATAAGTGCTATTATGAAGATAGATTGATCTATGGAGTTATAAGTTGTATGTCAAGGAAACAAATGGAGAAATTTCGATTTAGACAACTCATTTAATATTCCATTTGTGATACCTCTAAGTTTATTTATTTTAATTAGAATTCGTTTTGTCTCACCAACAGGACAAGTCGTCCGGGTTGTGAAAATCAGAAGAGCTAAATGATCACAGAAAGAATGAACAACTTTTTTTCCTTAGAACTCGAAGGTGTGCTTGCAAGTACGGATTCTTACAGAACCTACACATAGAGCAAACACTCGCATCGAACTATCCATCGTCCGTCCTATTGTTTCACGTTCACATCCATTTTACAAGGAATTGATTGAAATTCTATTCAATCTCCAATGATGTTTTGTTTCTGAATAAAAAGATCACTCACCGTTGATTGGCAATGTTGAGGTTTGGCAATATTGTCCGGTAAAACCATTAGGACACGCACACTGATATGTGCTGCCGGCTAGGACACAGCTATAATACAGATAGAATTAAAATAAAAAGCCGTGTAGAATATTTAGTTTCCTTCGCATCTATTTAACATTGTGCTATTCAAACTGACAACTTCTCGCTAATTAGACGTAGAAAGACTTTCAAAAAACTTCAAAGAAATTGTGAAAAACTATAAATATTACATTTTATCAGAATTATTGTTTCGAGAAAGTAGTATTGCACTTTGTTTTGCTCTTCCTTAAGCGTCATATAAAATCATGTGTAACATTATTGGTTAACATAATCACTGCATAAGAGGAGCTGTAAAAAGGTGGTCTCTGATATATAGCAATGCAATTCACAGCTACCTATGGCGAAAAATAACCCTCTCATATCCATCTCGATTCATCTAATCTTTCAACGAGTTTAACCAACAAAGGTTCGATTTCTCAAGATTTGAGTCCACTTGCGAAGCTCTTCGCTGATATTCAGTGTCTCTTCTGTTTCGTTTTGCCAAAGAAAATAGATTAATGTTCAAAGGAAAATGAGCAAACGAAACACTTACTAGCCACCGTTTAAGCACAACGACGGGTTGGACTGGCACGTGGACGCTAAAATAGTCGAAAAGCGTTCTCTTTTTTATCACTTACGAAACAATTGTGTTTACTAGTAATAAGCGTCGTGCATGTTGATCCTGTGTATTGTGGAGTACAGATACAATTCAAGGACGATAATGAGTACGACACGCATCTGAAAGCGAAAATGTTGTTCGCATCTTTTCTGTTATATTGACGTTTCTTACGTTCCACCATTCTGGCAAATGCCAGGAAGACTGAGGCAAAGATTGTTGGCTATACCAACACAAAATGAAAATATAGTATCACTAGGGTTCAGATGTGGCTGATGTAGGTATCATATTTTATTCACACCCACTTCAGACACTCTTCGTTTCAAATCGAAAACAAAAAAGCTATAACAAATGAGTACTTACGTGTCATCGTTGAAGTGGTTATCACGAAAAACCCTGCAATAAATATACTTATATATATATATAGTGAAAAACAAGCATTGCTGCATTTACTGCAGTAACTTGAGTCTTCATCGCTTCCATCGGCACAGTCTCTGAAAACACGGGGTAAAAGATTAGTAGACGCAATGATATCTAATGTAACTAACCTGACTCCATTGCACATAGATGAATTGGGTATACATAGTGGACCGTTGCCCGGATTCACACAGTGAATTTGATTCGAATTACAAGCTGGAGCTAGATTCCCGACAGAATCGTGGTCGATAAGTTACACAAAAGTTCAAATTCAATCTTACCACAATATCTCGGATCCTCATCACTTCCATCATCACAGTCTCTATTAGAAACGTCGGAATACATTCAAATATATGAATAAAGGTGACATTACCGAACACCGTTGCACACTGATGATTTGGAAACACAGATTTTTCCACTGCCTGGATTGGCACATCTAATTTCAGCCGAATTACAGTTAGCTGATCGATTACGTTAGAATGCATTATAACAAAGTCAAGTTGAAGTAAAGTTATGCTCTTACTGCAATGATTGAGATCTTCATCACTTCCATCAGCACAGTCCCTTTCGAAAGCAGAGAAATTATTTTTTCTACTACACGATAAAGGAGATTACCACATTCCATTACACAAAGATAGCTTGGATATACATATTTGACCAGTGCTTGAATTACTGCATCGAACTTGATCAGACGTACAAACAGTATCTGAATTTACCAAGTAAGCAACGAATTTATGTCAAAAAGTAGTAACTATTGAATCTCACCACAATATCTTATATCTTCATCGCTTCCATCAGTACAGTCGCTTGAGAAAATAAAACAGACGTCATATTAGCTCGTGATAAATAAATGAAATTACCGAGTTCCGTCGCACATCGCTGATCTCGAAACGCACAATGGCCCATTGGCCGGGTTCACACACCGAATATCTCCCGAATTACAACTAGCAGCTGAACTTCCAAACAAACCACTGTGTGGCATGTCAGAAAAAGAGCTTTCAAATCTTACCACAGTATTTTGGATCTTCGTCGATTCCAGAGGCACAATCCCTTGTAGAAACATAGCAAATTGTTTCAAAATTGTAAGAAAGAAGAAATTACCGAAAACCATTGCATAATGATGATTTAAGAACACATGCTGGACCGCTAGTGGAATTCACACATCGTACTTCATTCGAATTGCATGTTGGTGCTAGATTTTTTGAAACAAAATGTTTTCAAAATATTTCGTAATGCAAATGTAGAATCTCACGACAGTAGTTTGGGTTTTCATCACTTCCATCAGCACAATCCCTACTCGAAACAGAAAAGTTTGTTTAAATACTGAAATGAGAATAAGATTACCGAATGCCATCACATACTGATGTCTTAGGTACACATAATCGACCACCATTTGGATTCACGCAGTGTACCTCGGTCGTAGCACAGCCGGCATCTAGATTTTAGTGAAAGACATATAAGGAATGTTCCATTACAATGAAAATCAAGGCTTACCACAATAGGCTGGGTCTTCATCACTTCCATCCGTGCAGTCTCTTTTAGAAACAAATATAGATATCGTTATAATTAATTCAACGAGTCTATCCTTACCGATCACGATCACACAAATATGTTTTAGGGACACATATTTTCCCACCAGTGGGTACCGTCACACAGTGTACTTCATTTGCAGCGCATGACTGAGCTATAGTTTTTCGAGTTAGGAATCGTAGATACTAAGAAAGAAAATGTCAAATCTTACCGCAATAATTTGGATCTTCATCACTTCCATCAGCACACTCTCTTTTAGAAAAACAAGAATCAGTTTAAGCCGTGAAACAAAAATGCGATTACCTAATGCCGTTGCATACGGATGCCTTGGATAAGCATAATAGTCCATTGCTCGGAGACACACATCTGACTTCAGCTGCCGTACAATTGGCAACTAGATTTTAGAATGAACCATAGTAAAGCATTTTTGAAAAACAAATGACAACTATGTTTTACCGCAAAATTTTGGGTCTTCGTCACTTCCGTCCGCACAGTCCCTTTCAGAGATATAGGAAGCGGGTTAAATACCAGAACAAAAAGATAACTAACTTGAATCTGTCACACACGAACGTTCGTGGTACACATTGAGGACCATTGCCTGGATTCAAACATCTGATTTCACCGAAATTACAACCAGCAACTAAATTTCGGAAGGAACCCTTGTGAGGAAGTGCAGAAACATAGCTTTTGAATCTTACCGCAATACTTTGAATTTTCGTCACTTCCATCAGCACAATCCCTTTTATAAAAGCATAATGATTAGCCTCAACATTAAAATGAAGATGAAATTACCGAACACCATTGCACATCAATGATTTAGATATACATTGTAGGGTACCAATGGGATTCAAACATCGGATTTCACCCGAACTGCAACTACGATCTAGGTTTAAAAAGGATTCATTGTCAGAGAGTTGATATGATATTACAATTTGTTCTTACTGCAATACACCGCATTTTCGTCACTTCCATCGGCACAATCCCTTTTAAAAGCAAAAATTATTTTCAATATTTCACGAAGATGAACCTTACCCAACTCCATTACACATCGATACTTTAGGTAGGCATCGTCGGCCGTTCGTCGCATTTCTGCAATGAATTTCATTCGAACTACAGATGACGCCTATGTTTCTCAAGGAATAACAATGACGAAGTTTAAAACTATAAATGCTGAGTCTTACCGCAATACTTTGGATCTTCATCACTTCCGTCCATGCAATCCCTTTTGCAAACAAAGACACCACATTATTTTAGTATGTGAATGCGAAATAAAATTACCGAGCTCCATCACACATCGATGGTTTTGCAATGCATTGGTTTCCACCGAGTGGATTCACGCATTGTATTGAACATGAACCAGTTTGAGCTACAAGTAACACACAGCATAATAGCTAACTAGATTAGTTCTCGATCTGAGCGAAGAATGACAAGTCTTCAACCTTTTTGACAGTTTCACATAACTCATAAATAATTACAGAATTTCTACGTTTCACTCGCATTCTTTATCTAAGCATATCATGGTGTCACCGTATCAAAAGCATTCAACAGTATGAATTTAAGCGAAGTGAAACAAGTTTAGCTATATACTCAAATTTGCAGTGTCAATAAAAAGCATTAGCAGAACTGCTATCACGCGACTAATGAGTAGAATGTTTAAATATGAAAGCTTGTGTTAAAAGGGACGGTCTCCAAGAAATTGCACATGGATTTGCTAATCGCAGAAGCAATGACAGGGAGTTCTACAAGTTCGTAGATCTATGTTAGAAATCAAGAAAGTTCGAGAAAGATAAACATTAGCAAATGGTTGATATCCATATCGTTGATTTAAAACAAATTAAGATTCTAAATTGTCTTAATGATTGCAATAGTACCATGTAGCGACCTAGATGTATACCACGGTCTACCAATCGACATATAAGAGTCAGGAAAAAATAATCATTCTTCACCGCTGAAAATTCATGATCTCTAGCTTATACAAAGTCGACTGGTGAATTTTCTGAGAGCGATGTTGTTGTTGATTAGCCAAGAAATTATGCACCTATATCCTGTAATTTTTGGGAGTTTTTCATTAGATATAACATTCAGTTTTTATCTTCACACGTACGAGCTGTATTTGCCTTGGAAAAGTGAAGTGAAATACAATAAGGCAATGTAGGATGTCTAGTTTGGGATACTACTGATGCTTGATGATCAAGTAAGGAATCAATAATAAAAGGTAACTTACATGATTCATTTTATCTTATTTTACTTCACCTTACCTTCGCAGCGAAACATAAATAATAATCGAAACTTGCACATGCAAACTTTGCTTACCATTTATTTGTCCAAACAAGACTCCAGTGGTACAACAGACTACGAAAAACAACCATAATTGCCAACTTTTCATTTTTTCTACTTTATGATGAATGCTTCTCGCTAAAACACACTTCTAGTCAGATCACAATAAAAATGACTGCGACAGCAAAAATACATTCGTTTAGAGGGAAGATTATAAATGGTAGCAAACAACAAAGATTTTAATTATACGGAGATTAAAACGAATTAGAACCAGTTATATTGCTATATTCGCTGAAATTAGAGCCTCACTGACTGACAATAGCAACAAGTAATCCTTTAAAATTACGTGCAGATGCATGTATCAATTGACGCATGCGCTTAATTTACGAAGTTTGTACAACTGATGCAAACCCTAATCGACACTATCACATAACGATGATATAGCAAGTTTCATTTGTGCAATGTTGTGCTGACACCATGATCGAGCTAGAAAAATATATGGTGGCCTTGAATATATAAATGCTATTCTCAGTACTCAGTTAATATCTCACTTATTTTTCATAACAATGATCTCATCCTTTTCCCCAAAAGAGTGTGATTGTTGTTATTCCTGTTGACGTACGAGTGTACCTGTGCTCATGGATGCAAATAAAATCTGCATAAATTTTGCATAACTATGTGAGGTCGAAGTTTATTTAAAAGATCAAGAAACGAGAATTAACAATAATGTTGAACAAAACTTAACTAGAAGAATTTTTGTAGGCACACACTAAGTTAAAATGTATCGCATGTGTCATGATTTGCGACACAATGTACGACACATTCCAGTGCGACACATTTGCCAAATTAACTGGTCGAGTTTGAGCCTAGCCTTCGCCACATTTTGTAATTATATTCGCGTAGTGGTATTGTAATGCATATTGGTTTCTATTATTGCTCCAATAAATATATTAATAATTTATATAAGCTTATGTGTTTAGTAGAAAAAATTAATTTTATTTTGTAACCTTTATTTATTGAAGAAATTAATTTTTATAGGAAAAAAAAACATTTAAAAAATTTCCTTTTATGTGCATAGTTTTTTTCATATTCAACAATGACATTTTGAGCAGCTAGAGTTCATTTTTTTGCAAGCGACGCTTTTATTTTAATGTTGGCGTTGCTTCCATGAAGTGCGAAATAATCCAATACCTCCAGGATTGGTTGGTTGCGCCGCGGAAATTTAATAGCAAATACATAGAAAATGGTCAATAATACAGTCAATACATATGTCATATCAGTTTGAACATCAAAATCAAGTAGCAGTAAGTTTGATTACGATGCGTGCAAGAATAAAGTAATGGTGATAGATTATCTACTTTCAGCAATGGAATAAAATTCATAGTACTGACTTCATCGAGAAACTAAAACATGAAAAATACGAAAATAGTGAAGAACTGAGCGATAGAATAGACTAGCCAGCCAAGCAACAATTTGAGCAATCGTCAAAACATGCTTAATAGGGTAAAATTAAGCGTGGGATAAATAAAAATATTTGCAAAAAAACCATACATTACTAAGAACATCAATGAAACTATATCATGAATCGACGAAGCAAAACTATTTATGGTCAAACCTTTATATTGATGATAATGTTTCTGTGATGTGCTTCCATGCGTGCAATAGCTCTTCATCTCTCTAAATAATTTGAAATGCTCTTTTTCTTACTAACATTGAAGTTTTAAGAAAAGGAAAGAAAACAGAATATTTTATAGTTCAATCTTAGCTTCACGGCTATGAAGTTGAAATTTTGAGAAAACGATGAGAAAAATAAATTTAGATTGAATTTTTCATCTCAAATTAAAGACCCAGAAGATAAAAGGTGATACTTTTTCATTAAATTTGTCATTTTAAAGAAGTTTCTTTGAGATTTTTATGTTTTCCATTTAGATATTATTCATATGTACATTTTCATCAGGTAATTTACCATAGATTTCATATGAAATAATGTTATCCAGAAACTTCCGAATACGTTCAGTAGCAACCATTAATGCCACTTTAGTAACAAGTTCAAATTCTAATTTGATCTTCCGGAAAAGAATCCCAATTAAGGACTGATAAAAAAATAACACTTAAAAATGTTGTTTTGTGTAAAAGGCACCTCATTTTAAATCTGTTGCAAACTTTGACCAGATTATAAATAAGCTCGACGAACACGGAATGATTCAACAATCAGTTGAGTGGTTGTGCCTTTTGTCATTTCTTTGTTGTGAAATGCATCGATCAATGTTTTCATGAATTCCTTCGATTCAATCGAATTAGTATTATCTGTGAAACATACTTTTATTATATTAAGAGAAAGAATAAACTTACCAGTTGTTGATGGTTCAATAGCTGATGAATTATTTGATTCGCACCATCCTGATAACGATCGTTATCCCAATCGAGCGAAAATTGTCCATCACAATTTTTTTTCTTGCGACTTCGTAAATAAATGAAGATTAATAGACAAACAAGATCTTGATTGTCCTTAAATTCATTCATTGAGTATTCTTTAACAAAAGCAGCCAGTATTTGATAGTAATGTGTTTTGATGAAATATTATAGGCAAATAAATGGCAAGCCGATATATTCATTACGTCTTGAATAACAGATTGCATCATACCTAGAAAGTTTAATTATGTGCTTGAAATTTAAACAAAACATTCATCTCAATCACCTGCAGAAATGGCATATTTTATATTAATAGGAAAAGCTGGAAAAAGATTAGATGATGGTAAAGATGGCAATTCACGTAATTGATCCTAAAACAGAAGATAGATGATAGTTCAATTTTGAAAATCTATCGACGAATTTTTCGAATCTCATATATCTAGAACGAGGGTGCCAAATAGTTAACCCAAGTCACTCGATCCTGCCTCCAGATCCTGCTGGGGTCCATCATAAGCGGTACCGGATCACTCTAGAAGCCGGCATGTTTTCCACTAAGATGTACCAAGATCTGACATGGATTTCGCCGGAGACTTTGACCCAGAAATCAGGGCCGGAATTCAAAGGAAAAGGGCCCGGTCGTTTTCTACCGGATAACACAACCGAACAATGTCGCAACAGATCGACTTCAACTACCGGATGATTCCGGGTTCACAAGAACAGCGCCACATCTTTGACAGGACTCCATGAGATTCCGATGATAAGGACATTATACAGCATCTCTCATACAAGCATTCTTCAATCAGAAGGTGAGACATCTGTAGCCTTCCAAAAGCCCACACCGACCGACAAAACTGCGCCCCATGAATAATCTCAGATAGCAACCACACTGAAAAACATTTTAACCGGAATCGAACACTATGTGAGTCACCAATACACACGCTTAAAATAATCCAGAACCATCCTACCATATTTTGTATGCATTAAACAAGATTTTAAACCTGTTTAACCAGCAGTGGACGATGGGACCAATTGATCGGGAAATGGTCACATTTTCGGCAGAAATGGACACCCCCCTCCACATGAAGTCATACGTTTTAAGGAGAAATGGAAAAGAAAGAATCTATATATATATATATATATATATATAGATAAATGTCATAGGCCCACAAGAAATTGAAGTTATCCTGGTCTAAGATTCCTTTATAAATATATGCGATATTTATCAGTTCGATACCTTTAGTCCTTTTAGCCTTTTGAATCCCTTTTTAGATCTAAAGTGATCAAAAGGATAATGAGGGTTTATATTTGTAAAGAAAAGTTAGACCAGGATAACTTTAATTTTTTATGGACCCATCATAGAAAAAGCTTTTCAGTACAGCCCAGCTCGGGCTAAAATGTGGAAGATGCATATTACAAATCACTTAGAAACTGACCACATAGAACGTTTTATTTTTTTCTAATAGAATGAGCTTCATGGTTGTTTTAGGAATACCATGGAGAAAAAAATAAAAATACCTGAATAAGTGAAAACGCAAAATTTCTTTCATTTAAAGAGCTTTTAAATATTTCTGAAATTTTCTAACTAGAAAAACGCCTACAGATAAGTTACAGCTCGATAAAATTTTATTTTGTAAAGCTGCTGGTATACAAGAATTACATGTGTTTAGGAAGGTCATTATAATTTTATAATTTTGCTTTTTCTCTTCCTTTTGTTTTAAAGTTTTTTATTATTAATTATTTTCTGATTTTTTAATAATTAATTATTTATATTTTTAAGACGTTTTGGAGATATCTTTCTCCTTCTTCAGTTTTATTTTATTTGGTGTGATGTTTGTTTTTACCATTTACAAGACGTATCTGACTATTATTTTTCTTTTCGTTTTCTTTTCCTTTAATAGTGGAACGGAACGTCAAAACATATAAGTTTTATCGGTTAGTATTACCGTCTTGTCATTCCGTTCCACTATTAAAGGAAAAGAAAAGGAAAAGAAAAATAATAGTCAGATACGTCTTGTAAATGGTAAAAACAAACATCACACCAAATAAAATAAAACTGAAGAAGGAGAAAGATATCTCCGAAACGTCTTAAAAATATAAATAATTAATTATTAAAAAATCAGAAAATAATTAATAATAAAAAACTTTAAAACAAAAGGAAGAGAAAAAACAAAATTATAAAAAAAGGTATACAAGAATATTGATAAGAAATAAGAAATATGAAATATTTCTTTTTTTGATCTTGAAGTAAAATAGATATGAAATCAATTTTACACTTAAACATTGTTTTACTATCAGTAAATAGAACATATTGCACCCGTAAATTTTTTGTTCCCTCGCTTGTAGTATGATTAAATTTTCACTAAACGAATTCTTATTCTCGTTTATATTTTATTTCAATTAATATCTCTCTTATAATGATTGATTATATCTTTATTTTTATACAGAAACATAGAAAATCAGTTTTGAACACAAAGTTTAATTTCGCAAGATATAAAAAAATGCGCTGAACCTATGTTTGGTTTCCGATGATTATTTTTAAAGATTCATCAGTTAGTTTGAAAATATGCTCACGATTCTTCTTCTAATGATGATTATTAATTTACTGATGTGATTATAATTTAGTTAAATATTTCTCAAACGATTAAATGCCATTTCGATTTCAAGTTGATTGAACTGATTATAATAGTAACGATAGCTTTTGTTTGCTGTTCAATTATAAATCCTAATATATAGTTTTTCTACGATTTAGAATTCAAGAACTCGTAGCAAATCTAAGAAATCTCAAGCAGAAAGATGTCGTCCAGGCAAAAAATATTTTCTGTTCATTCTGTTTATGTAAGACGATCAAAGATATCCACGTACACATACATGTTTTCGTTCTAAACATATATTGAGATATTCAATACCTATGACTAGAAATAAAGAAAAGACAACGTTCAATATTGTTTTCTATCATTTCTATAAATAAATGTGAATTCTTTGGCCCCATTTTAACTAGTTTTTCCTCTGCCATATTACTATCTATACCACTATTTCCATTCTGCCGAAAAAAAACAAAATTCGAACTGAATAATATTTCTTCACAAGCCCTAGATACAACAGCGCAACATGTAAGAAATAAAAAATACACACCATCCTTAACTTGAACCAAACGAAAGCTTTTTTAATAGCACTCATGACGATAATATATGCATAACAAAGTCTGCAAATGAAAGAATTTTCTTATTCCATAAAACTGTATTACTCCACTGACAGCTAATACTACAATCATGACAATCATCAGCTGCATATTTTCCACTTCAAGACACCCGTACCCTCCACAATTATTCCGCACTTACCCACGGTTTTTCTAAAGAACGCCTCCATTTTCACTTACAAAACCGCAATCTCAGCATAAGATTAGCTGTTAGATTCCACATATGACTATCAGAACAACTTTTCACCATGCAACACGATATACAGTACAGATTGTTCCTGATATACGGTGATATGGCTTATTCGTTTCACGTGCAAAATAAACCATTTCTATTAAGAATATCCATTTCTTCTTGAGATATCCTTTTATAGTGAAAAAAATGTTTTCTGTAGATAATTTATCGATTTCTCTAGGACTCTGTTAGTTGTAAAGTATTTCTGCTGGTTATTGAACCATTTCACGATTTTACGGGATGCTGTCCACCCCTCACTAGTTTCCCCAAGAGCGTTTGTTGATGATTTAAAATTATGCTTTTGGTCTTACCAGACGGAGCGAACACGTGTGGCTGGCGTTTTAAATGATGTCGAGTTGGATGAACGAACAGCATTGTATGCATATATAGCAAGTTTATCTCGTCGTGAGTAATCATAAATGGCGCTGATTATATTATCAAGAGTTATCATAAACGACTTGTGTGAGATTCATCCTGGTCGATACCCCTCGCTCAGCATCAATAAATACATGATCATGTTACTAACGTGGATTGATTCTTCAGAAATAACCTATTGGATGAGCCATACTTTAAAATTCATGCCTATCATCGCTTGTACGAGCAATTAACTAACGGACTGACTGGATTATAAGATGTTCCTTTAGTATCCGATAGTTACTTCCAGATGTTTTCGGTCGGATCTGTGCTGCAGGAAGTGGTGAAATCCGGCGGGTAGGATCGTTTCGATCCAATGTGTTTCGGGGATACTGATTAAGCCGGATCTACCATGAAATCGAGCGTTATGCGGCACGGCGGGTTCTGGTAAAGTTTTATTACCAGATATTGCGGGATCACGTCGTCTAGGGCCCAATCGTATCATCTGATCCGATCGTTTCCGCCAATGTAAATCTGACCGGTTCTCGGAGGATCTGGTTACCAGATTTCATCAGAAAACAAAGAAAATGATCGAAATTCACCAGAAATTAATCGGTCGAATCCAGTCACCATGTGACGTCGGAATTATAAACCGTTCGACAAGATCCGACTGATCGATACTGACTTGGGAATCTGTTTGTCAAACAATAAATCTATGAGAAAATATATAGTTTGGATGATGTTCAGTTCAACGACTAATATTTCTTTTTGTTCCTACCGATTTATGATAATGATATTGAACTCCAGTTTCAACTTTAGTTATAAATTTTACCATACTAAAACTTAGCATTCTTTTGTGAATTGAATATAACGAGAAACACGTTAATGATTTACATGTATCTGTAAATATAAGTGAATAGTAATAACAAGTAGCGTTCATCCTATGTATTATCTGATCTTTTCTAAAAGAATGATATTTCATTGAGAATTATAAGCAATCCACTATAGTCTCATAAGATTATTGGACCTAAAAATAGTTATGTCATGAAGAAAATGATTTACTCTTGATTTATTTGCTTGATTATGAAATGAATTTGTAAAATGCGGAGAAAGAACAAGCAAAAAAAACGAGAAAATGAGAACAAAGAAGATAAACGGGTGTTTCCACCAGCTTCCTCCCACCATTTACAGAAAGGTTTTCAAATCTCGTTTTATTGGTTTCATCTTGTAGAGATTTTTGCGCTGATCATTTTTTGTTTTGTGTTTTCAGCGATTAGTTGAGAAATAAGAAAGATATCGAAGAAACATTGAAAATAAGGTTTTTCACAA